ATGAATATGAATCAAAAGAAACACTAATAATGAGGATTCTGGAATCAGCTGAACTAAAACTTACAAGAAAATAGAAATAATACCTACAACGGTACGGTGTGCTGAAACCGGAAGTTCCATCCAAAGATATCTACTGGCCTTTTTAGGTGTAGTAACGATGACGGTCGGTTTATGAAAGGCTTTGAAGTTTGGAAGTAACTAATCAGATCAATCATGTACCTAAAAAAACAGTTGAAGATCTAAGGATCGAACCTTGGGCACCGTTGTTGTCAACTTGTCATCCGTGGATGTGATCTTTCAACTCCATGCACCAACTGATTTAGACCTAAGTACAAAGAAAGCAGAACAAGGGCATGAACAATCATGGGTTTCATGGGGTCTAACCACAGAACTGATAAGAGTGAGATGTCTCTCACCCTCTGCAACAACTCAACGAATCATACATCGTACTGATCAAGTGGTTTTCTGGCAAACATGAGTTTGTTATAGACAGGAGCACCAGCAAGCGTTACTGTGTCCACTTGCCTCGGTCACAAGACTTGGCGGGGTGTATTTTTGGGTTCCGGTACTAACTATAACCGTGCTCAAGCACACCGAAGCTAATGTCAAGCCCAGAATTTCGTTGTCTCCCACAATCGCTCCCTCTTCGTATGTATGGATATATGAATGTTATTGGAAACGGACTCTCGGACTGTCCCGCCTCCAAGGGAGAAGGATAGCAAATAAGGAGAGACTCCAAGCATAAAACTCTCCGGCGTAAATTTTGATTACCCTAATTAATAATCGCTTAAACCTACACGGCCAGCGGCAGCCCCAGGCCCCATCTGCAGAAGAAGTTAAAACCGATTCCTGGGACGCAGGGATTACGACGTTCGTCATTTTTCGTGATCGCGGTGATACAATTTAGGTCGCAGGCAATTTACAGATGTGAAGTGTCACGTACAAGACAAGGGCTGAGAGGGGCGCTTAAATCCACACCCCTCTCAGCAGACAGGTTAAGCATTCATTTCGTGCACTGCGGCGGGCGAGGGTTAACGGAGGGACTCCGTTGACAGAGGCCGAACTGCGGGTCGGAACAGGGATCGGGACCCTGATGCGCTTGGTCATCGACGGACGTACGATTTGGCAGAACTAACTTCTTCTAGAACAATACGGAGTACCAAATATAGCAAAGAAGAGAACAGAAACCTACCCATGCAAGCTCAGGGGAGCATGCAGGCGGGGCAGAGAAGGGAGCCCTTCAGTCATCCATGCATGCATGCCATGATGCATGATGGAGAATGGCAAGAATGGCAGGTCAGCAGATTGGACATGACTGCCAATGATGGCCGCAACAGAAGCACATACATACATATACGTATGATTAGATCTTTGAACATGCCATGCGATGAGATGCTATGGCCCCCAAAAAGTACACCCGCATCGCATGTCAGCTGAATGTTATATGTTATAACACTCAGAGGAGGAGGAGAGGAGAAAAAGAAGGATCTTTGCCAGGCCCGTACGAGAATAAGAGATACTTGTACCCTAAGTGAGAGTCTCCCCCTGAGCCTGAGCTGACCGGACCTGGCCCCAATCTGACTCCTATCTGGTTACACTGACCTGACCTGAGTGGGCGGACGGGAGGGGGGGAGGTTGGAGAAAAGTTTATTCGTTAGGGCCACAGGATGGAGTTCAATGAAGCGTTGGATGGAGCTTTGGGTTTACAGCAAATATCTATCTACCAGGTATGCGCATGAGATCCTGTCTTGCGTTTTCCGCCGATAAAATACATACGTATCTATGATGAGAAGGGAATAAAAAATGCACAAAAGGTCAATAAAGTGGATCACTATGTTCCCATCTTCAGTGAGTAATCTCCAGTGTGTCAAACTTCCGGTATGTAGGTCGAACAACAATGATGATGATCTATCCCTTTCTCCGTCAGGTGTAGCTTGCTTTGATCTTCATCTACTCCATTATTGGTCTATTCCATATCATATGTGCATCATAGAAACTTTCACCTCCCCCATTTCTCATACGGACTGGTTGAATATATTCCCACGAGAGCGAACAACAGCCAGCGAATGTCTTAGGCAAGCGAAGCGAGCGATAACTGCAAGAGGTTTTGGAGCTGGGATAAGTATCGTGGTTGGAAATTATCAAATGTGCAATGTCAATTATTGACTGGTATGTAGATGTGGGACTTGGGTTGACCCAATATTTTTCAGCAATCTGTACTTTCTCATTCTACTAATGATTGTGATTGAATTACAACATTTGGGTGTCCTTTCAACAAACATCTGGTGAGGTGAGGTGAGGTGAAGCGTGCATCTCAAGTGACGCTTGTGCTACTTTAGTATAGTCAGCTTATCAGAAGATTAAGACCCATGTCGATGACCACAGTAGCCACAGAAAGTGTAAGAAGTCCTTTACTATGCCATCCATTTTACACTGTTAAATCTTAACTGTGACTTGAGAATATTCAGTTGGATATTTTGCTCTCACTATACAAAAACGTGGTAGGTATCTCAAGTCATAGGCGTATGAAAAAAGTGCACATGTGTCATGTGTATTCTGAAGAAACTTATACCGTATTTGGCCTGTGATCAACGAAAAAAGAATTAAAAAACTTTTCCATCAGAATTTTCCTTCTGATAATAATCTGATAATAATTCTTTTCATTGTTGATTCCAATCCAAGTTCAGTGTTGTATTGTATACACTTGTGTTTTATACCATACAGTTTGATATGGTTGAGTATTAACCATGATCGAAGCTCAATACTGTACAATGGAGCGGGTTGATATAATTAAGTCATACCGACTTGACGAAGGTGTTCATAAACTGCATGTACACTTGAAGATCCGATGCTTGTCTCTGAGGTGTTCTAGCTGCTGTAAGTACTGGACAGTCATAACCATGAGTCTTGTCTTGGGAAATCACCAGGTTGATTTCAGGAACACTGTGTCCAATAAGGAGTTGCAATCTATAGCTTTGAGGGATTCACTTAAAAAATATTGTGAAAAGGCCAAAAGCAAAAGGGAGAAGACTGTGATGCTTTACATATAGAGCAGATGCCTTCAGTCTTCATTATTTCAGTTCGTTAAAGAGTTAGGTCTAAACATCAAATACATTAAAAATCAAGTCATGCAGTTGACTTTCACTTGATGAAAATCCATGCGGAGAGCATTAAGGAATTTGCTCGCTTCAGATGTGGGTTGTGTAGACCTGACATGGAGTTCTTGTAGGAGTCAGAAGATTAGTGCATCTTCTAGTCTGCTTGATGAGCCACCTCTTGTTTCCGGCTCTTCCAAAATCCTCAAAGCGAGGCCGGTAAAACTCGCCAACCAAAATGAAATCTCGATCGAAGATTTAGAAGAACATAAACTGGACCCTTCTTATCGGCTTTTGGTTAGGGTTTACGAGAATCGCTATTCGACACAGAAAGTATGCCACAAGGAATGATAAAATAGTCCCCGACTTTCTAAATTAAAGCATGAAAAGGCATCACCTCCAAGGGTAGGTTATTAAAATCTATCCTCCTCGTCGCCGTCGTTGTAGCAGCATCCACGGGAGTCGGGCGATTTTCATGCAAACGGAAGTAGATTCGGCAAAATCGGGGCCAAAATATATCCAGAACAGTTTCCAAATAGTGCAGTACACCGTTCGAAATAGAGCACACCTGGACGCTCCCACAAATGTGAGAGCCGCTGGAGGCGAAGCCCTAATGATTCTGCCGAAAGCCTCTCTTTAGAGTGGGCAGCGGATGGGCTGTTTTAGGGCCCTGTCCCAGGGCCCCGCTTCGGAGAGAGCGACTGCAGACGAGAAGTTCAGCGAGGGCCGGATGGATGGATGGAATTGGGAGAGGAGGACGAGGGTGGAGCGGATGCATGCATGAGTGCATGCGCACATGATGGAAATAGAAAGCCGACCCACATGATAATGATATGGGAGAAAAGCACAACACCCACTTAGTAAAAAATGATAAGAACGTGATGGCCCCGAAGGGGAAAAAGCGAAACTACTGTACCGCGCTCCCTTGTAAATGTCAACTATTTACTGCCTGCAACTAGACTCTATGTCCCTTTCGGGGGACGAGTATTCAACCATAAAAGTGGAAATAGAAATAGGGCTGTAAAAAGGAATTTTTTTCGAGCTAAATTCCGATAGCTCTAAAGAGCCCTGCCTAGAAACGCATCGTCAGATCGCTTCCATCGAAGGGTCAGCAGATTATCCCTATTTATTGTCGGAGCTAGACACAATCACTACTATCTACGTGTCGATCATTCGCCCTAGAAAAGCCCACACCTTCCGATCCCGAATCGGACGGGCCGTAGTCGCCGATCACCCATGGATTTCATACTGAGGAGCTCGATTCCATGACACTGGCTATCGAAAGCCCGCGAGCGATCCCGACGATCTGGTGGGCTGAACGGCGAAGATCCAACTATAAGAAAACTCGAGCATAAACTATCCCTAGTTTAAGCGCCGTCGGATGAAGACACCTGGAGGGTCGAGATCACCCGAGTCCTGGCAGCGAAGGATCCACAAGCTCGTCCACTAAAGCTCGACACTTTCGTCCCTGCAGGGCATATTCATCGCCAATATCCGTAAAATCAGCAACCGTCGATGGCACATCATCGGACGATGAGCTTAGCCTTGCGAAAATAGTTCAAAGTTTCCACACAGACAGACGAAGAAGAAGAACGAGAGACAATGGAAAGGAAGGAAATAAGTGAAGGATCGAAAGAACGAGAGCTGTCTGGGTAAGCACAGCGAGCCAAAGCAAAGCCCTGCGAAGGCAAAGCACGGCCAAGGCCAGGCAAGGCAAGCCCAAGACCCAGCCCAGGCCTGCCCAACCCTCTGCCCCGGCCTGCCCTGCCCTGCCCAGGACTCTATTTTCGTCTCGTCTCTGCTCTTTTGCCTGTACAGGGCATAGATACAAGAGCGCGAGAGTGAGCGGAGGCAGACACGCCGAGCCAAGCCAAGCAAACGAGGAAGGCATTAAGGCAAAGGAAGGGAAAGGAAAGGAGAGAGAGAGAGAGAGAGAGGGAGGGGCTCTGGGAGGTCTGTGTGTGCCTGTTTGGGAGGGGACTCGTACAAATTCAGGGACGGGGAGAATTTTGAGGGCGATTAGAGGAGCCGTGATCAGAAATTGAAAGCTAGGTGAGGAAATTGCACGATTCGGGTCATGCAGTTTTCGTAAATTGGAGTGGTGGTGCTGGAGGAGGTGGAGGGGGATTGGTGGTGGTGGCGTTGTTGTTATCGTGGTGGTGGGGGTTTTGTGGACAGCGGAATTGGAGTGAAGGTTATTTGCTGTTGGGCGTCGTTGTGTGGCGGGGTGGGGAGTGAGGAGAGCTTTTGGCAGAATGGCGATGGCCTTGGCTTGCGAGAGAGAGCAGCAGGAAGGGCAATTGGAAGGAGAGGGAGAGTGCGGGGTGGAAATTCAGAGAGGGGAGTGTGTGGAGGTTGCGGAGGACGGGAATTTGGGCCTCGAGGACCTGGAAGAGGAGGAGGAAGAAGAGGATGAGGAGGTGGACGAAGGAGTGGTCGTAGAAGAGGACGATGACGAAGAAGAAGAAGTAGAAGAAGAAGAAGAGGAGGACGAGGACGAGGACGAAGAAGAAGAAGTCGAAGAAGAGGAGGAAGAAGCAGAATACGAGGTGGAGGGCGAGGAGGAGGATGATGAGGAGGAAGTATTTTCATCAGGCAGAGGAGAGAGCGAGGAAGGAGAAGATAAGGAGGAGGAAGTATCATCGGGCGTGCGGGTGTTATTTAAGTTAAAGGACAGTCCGCCATCGGTGATTGTCCAGTACGATGAAGATGGCGAACAAGTCGAATTCGAGAGGCACGACACTTCGGACCAAACGGAATCAGATTCTGAAGACGAAGAGGAAGTGGAGGAAGAAGATGACGACGTAGAAGCTGGGCAAGAGTACACTTCCCCTGCATACTCCGAGGACTCGGCCTTCGCAGAGCTCCTCGAGAATGTGACGGCGAGGACCGGGGTCAAGGCAATAGGAGGCGAAAGAAGCCCCGGTGGTGAAAGCAGCGAGGGACTTATCGTCGTGAATGATCACGACTCTTACGTGTCCATCGCTATTGCCTTCCCAAAGGTGGAAGAATATCGAGTAAATGCCAATAGATCGACCATGGTTAAGCTTATGGCTCAGGTGGGACATTTTTCCAGTCGGTGCTTTTGTTCGTGCGCGTCGTGTTCTTACGACAAATGCATGCATTTGGCGAGAATGTGGTGGTTTTTCGGGCGATTGTCGTTCTTTGACCGTGACAGAGATCCGTAATGCGATGGGGTTTGGACGAATTTGGGCATTGTCCACTTCTCGGGGTCGTAGCCCGAGAAATTTGTCACTGCAGTCATAATGCTGTACGGGGTTTGGATGCTAACATGCAAGAGCCTTTCCCGTTGATTCATGTGCAGTCTGCGTTAAAGATGGAACTCCCTCCCTGTGGTCTGTATCTCGCTGTTCTCCTGCTCGATTTCTACTGGCAACACGATCGCAGCGAGGGACGGCGTATGGATTCGGTTCAGCTACATGTGCTCGCCTATACGTCCCTCTACATCGCCAGCAATCGCTTTACGACCCCTCGTCTAGCCAGGTAATTTTGCTGCCATGCTATGTATCTATCCATGTATCATCTGTTGCGTCATGGCGATGGTTATGATGATGATGGTGGAGGCGATGGTGGCTCCGACCGCGCCCTTCTTCTTTTTACGTGAAACCTTGCAAGCTCTAGGCCGCCATGGCTCGCGGATTGCCTGATTGCAGTTGCTCGCAATGATGCGCCTGGCCTCACTCACTCGCGCGCGTGGATTTCTAACCTCGGTCGCCCATTGTGTTCGCCGTGCAGAACACCCGATGAATTCTGCCAGTGGGCCGGAGTGGCGGAGGGCAGTGTTAAGGGATGTATGATAATTAGGCAATTGGAGGCGTTCGAAAGGCTTCTGCGCCCCGAGAGCGTGTCATCTGTCACGTGCCAATGCCTCTGGTAAGAAACAGAGCTCCGACTCTACGCCTCCCCTCCCCTCCCTTCCCCGAGGTCAACGTTTTTGCAAGTCGGCTCATTCCATATACGTCGAAGTCAGTCCATCCAGGTCGCGAAATTGGGGCCGCGATGAAACCGCAGATCCACGAGCTCGTGCTTACGTCATCTTTCGGGTCTAGCAAGAGGCCGAGTGATCGTAGCTGGTCGGTGTCGGGCGAGCGATCGTCGGCTCCGTCGAGGTGCGGGGCAATCGTTAGGGTAGTCGGTGTCGCGAGCATGGGGAATTGGGAATTGGGAATTGGGCTCGCACTGACCCGGGTCGTGGCGATTGTGTGTGCGCAGGCGCAAATTGAATCGGTTCGACGATCGTGGCTCCAAGTTTCCGACGCTGCACATGTCCAACTTCATCCGCGACCTGGAGCAGACGGAATACGGCATCACGAACTTCGATCCAGTGACGGGCGCGGTGAAGGCCGCGCACGCCGTTTGGAACGCGCATGTGCTCATGGCCAAATTGAACGACCCCTCCAATTTTGAAGATCCCGAAGGGGTAAGTAGTCCGACGCACTAACGCCCGAATCCCTTGTCCATGCCGTTGCCAGCCTGCCAGCTTCGTGACCCTGACCCGACACGGGGTTTTACAATCGCCCGCCTTCGCAGGGCGACCAATTGGGTCCGATTTCGGCCTCTTTAGGGTGGCGCATCTTGTTGATGGCACTAGCTCGCGTTTTGGAATGGTTGATTCCGGTCCGCCCATCGCGAGCATTGGTTATTGATGTTGTTCTCGTCGTCTTTCTTGCAGGCGATGGCGCGAGTCTTGCTTCTGGCCTCGATGTCCGCGGGTCGAAAGCGGGGCGCGCACGACTTGTCGCCGGAGAACATGAACGACATGAACAAGCGTGCCAAGATGCTGAGCCTGCCCAAATTGCGCATCGCTGTGTCTTGAGAGCAAGCGCCCAAGGCAGAAGACACGAAGTCGTCGTCGAGTCCATGGCGTTCTCGATTGCTCGGAATTTGCTTCGTCCATCGCACTAAGGGGCTGCTGCCGTGATCCAGATGTTGTCCAGACCAGATCAGTACCCATTTAGGACCCACATAGGTAAACACCCCAGTGGATACAGATGGGCACTATTCTGCCCCACCTTGTAGATAATTTTTAGATAGCCATCCCTTTCACTGGAGCCTGCCTTGCTGTTGCGCCTGTTCCAGAGATTGACATCAGCTTGCCAGTCTCTTTTTGATGGAGAAGAAGGTACACAGACGATGTCGAGGGGCTCTGGGCAGGCCAACTGCCGGGACCCTAGTGATTGATGGTGATGGCTGGGTGTTTAGATCGTTGGGACCTTCCCTTTGTAACATTCATTTAGCTGTAGCTTTAGCTTTAGATGTCACCCGCACACGCACACCTCTTACACACCCGCCCGCACCCACACACATCCACACACTCCTTACGTAGACACACACACTGGCGCGAGCACACCAGCGACAGACACTGACTGTCTAGACAACACGAACCGCAACAACATCAATTTCATATACGTCACATGCCACCCCTTTTTCATCATATGTCAATTAGGTGTCTTGGGTGGTGATGGCGAGTAGTAGATTCGCCCATCACCAGCTTAGGGCAAAAGAACGAGAGCTGGCTTCGCATCGATCTCTCTCTCTGTACAGAAGATCCCCAATCATCGCCTGCTCTTGGAGGGTCTCCACAAAGTGTGTTCACTGTTCATTGTAAATACAATCTCTTTCAACCAATCAATCATCGCCCTGTCTCACATTTGGCGCTTGTATGTATCGCATCGCATGTCTCGTGTTTGCCCTTGAGAATGACAGTGTAAATTGTGCTTCTTAACGCCCGCTGCTGGCTCCTCGTGCATTAACATGAGGCCAATTCAGTCTCTGGTTTACCCACTCACCGATCGTAAAGCGCACCACCGTCGGGCCAATTGCGCGTCTGTCTGCGGCATTATCCAACCGAGCAGCAGCGCCAGCTCTCCGCGCGGTGCGTTTGGGTCGCAGCTGGCACAATGTGCCATGAACTTTACGCTGAAACCGTCCGTGTGTGAAAGCTAAAATCGACCAAGTGTTGAAGGGCGATCAGAAGAAGCTGTCGTTCGAAACAGTGCTCTTATGTGTGGCAGTGGCGAGGTCGGCCGGAACCCGTCAAATAGAAGAAACATTCTTCCTGAGAGTGAGAGAGTGAGAGAGTGAGAGAGAGAGATCGAGAGCGCCACCGGTAGCTATAAGCAATGAAGAGAAGGAAAGGCGAGTCGCGAGCTACGGCGTAGGCTGCAGGAGGTGGTCCTTGTATTAGGGAGTGAGATCTCGAACTGTTTGCGAATGTCCTGCCAACGTGGTGAGGAGGCTCGGACCAGAGCGATGGGTTAGGGCTGAATTGGATTAGCAGCTAATGTGCAACTCCGGGGAGTCGCGTGGACAAAATCGGTTGAGGGCGGAGACGAAAGGGGGGTCATGATTGCTGATCAGCACCAGCCGCTAATGGCCAAATTACTGGGCTCGACGAACGACGGTACAAAAGAAGCGAGTATATTCGGGGTATATAATGATGGTTTTGATCGGCATGTCGCAGAAAATCCTGAGCCTCAGAGAGAATATAGTAAGGGATCGCCGAGGGCGTCTGCCTCAGATGCACGGCTGCGGTGCGGGGGTTTTGAGTTGAGCTGCCAGCTTTTGACCCATGGGCCAAACAAGAAAATTGATGGTTGCTTAGTGCCAGCAGCAGCGGCAGCAGACTGTGCTCTCGTGTAGAGTCTGAATCTCTAATTTGTAGACTCGTTCGCTCGAGACGAGTCGGGTCCAGCGTTGTCTCGGGAATAAAATGTCTTCATTTCGGGAGGTCAACATGGCCGCGATTCAAACTGGAGAATCGGCGAGAATCTTCGGTATGTAATCCTTATCACTGACAGTGCATGTGCACATAGACTAAAGCGCGACTCTAGTCTGGGGGAGTCTGTAGGGGCAGACAAGGCACGTTTACGAGAGCGCTTCAGTCCAAAACAACGGGAGCAATATGATAAACAATGGCGAGTGAAACAGGATCCTTATCGCTTACATCATCGGAGCCTTCGTTACGACGAAAGCCATAGGGGTAAATTACGCAAAATCTCGCTAGAAAACAACGTCCCTTATCACTGACATTTGGACCGCCGGAGTTTGCCATGGGGGTCGAGGGCGAGGGGGTCACGTTTCCCTTTCCTCGGCTCTCACTGACATCGGGAAAGTGGCAAGACTGCGTCGAGTTCATAAGCTCGGGGGATGACCGAGACAAGACACATTAGATGGGATGATGACTTCCAGCCTTGTGATGGAGTGCGCGAGCGAGTGCCAAATGGCTACAGCAGTGCTCCACTGACGGCAAATGTGAGCCCTAAGTTTTCGTGCAGTGCGAGGCCTCCGAGGCTGCGCAGCATCTAGGGAATCGGTGGGAATCTTCGTCAAAATTCATCTATCCGGTGCAGCTCTGATCCACGGCCTCAGATCGCAATTCCGAAGACAGTAACAATCACGTACATCGACTTGTTCTCCCACCGGATGGTGCGGCTCCCTGCCAAATTAACAGCCCACGATACAACTCATCAACAATCAGCTCCGGATGATGCCCGTGGATCTTCGCTCTGCGTATGATGGAAGCCAGTGCAATAATGGCGACATGGGTGTGCCTAAATTGGATGAGCTTTACTATTCCGAGAACATACGGCCACGCCATCGCACCGGAGGCCCTCATCCTTAACCATCTCCACTATTCCGGAGGGCACTTCCCTGCCTACGGAAGTCGGGTCTGCGACTTAGCGATCTACCTCCCGAAAGCGGACATCTGGGTCACAGTCGTGGAGACCGCTCCAGACCAAAGATGTGTCCTCAGTGACAACCTTCTATTTTTGGTGGAGCCCCGGGCTTGTCTTAACAACAAAATGCCTTGTTTCTAAGGTTTTGTTCACCCGACTGTGCTTGGCTCGCACTCTTGGACTGTACTGCGAGTGCCGCAACACTGCTGAGATTTCCACAGCACCATCCACCGCAGCACATCATATTCAATGAGGCCACTCGCCCTAAATGGGCTCCTGCCTGCCCACACTCTAATAAATTGGTGGCGAGCACTGGCGACGCCTTTTAGGGTTTGTCCTGCAGGGATCGGGATGCCGATCGACTCGCTCCCCGAAAGCTTACCGATGACTCTGGCCGTCTCGTGAATCGTAGAAAGCCAAGACTCGATCGATCGATGGACTGACCGACCGATCGTTCGATGGATCGCCGCTAGCTAGGTAGCTATTGTGGCTGGCTGGCTGGCTGACGCCTTCTCCAGAACAAAAGGCCGTCTATTATTGACGGAGGACTTAGGGTTTGCTTTGAAGAACGACAGCTACAAAGCCCGGGATTGTTGTGCCGACAACCAACAGTGTCGACTGAGTTTCGATTGCCCGAGCTATAATGGTCACAAGGGATAGTATGCTCGCGTCTCTAACCCCTCGTGTTTACACAGTGAGCTCACAGGGAATCAAGTATGGCTACAATTCAATGACCCTAAATTTAGGACGCGAAGTGGGACGACTGGCGGTTCCTTGCTGCCAGACACCGAGTTGAAGTGCGATTACAGTTCATCTCGGGGGTGAATTCCTCCTGCTTCTCACCCCGTTTTATGGTGCACATTTACCCTTCATGATCACAGCTGATTTTCGAATCCGTGTATGGTGCTGGCTTGAACATTATAAGCCACGAATCTCGATCGAGGAGACAGCCTATGACCAAGGATGTGTTCATGTAAGGATGACAACTCGGAATTGTGAAGCACTGGTTGGTTCTCGGTAGAGCCTATACCCTGCAAGCTCCATCTCAACAATTCCAACCACATGTACAACGGCAGGTACAGTACACGTGAAATGGAAATTCATCCCCCGGCAGAACTCGTGTCTATGTTGACACGAGTAGAAATGCCGGCTACCTTAGAGCACCGGTTAAACCAAAAGTTTGCCAACCAATGTGGGATTCTGTGTCCACACATGACGAGCACCGAGATGAAAGTCCCTTCTTTCCATACTGTTGGATTTTGTTGCACTACACAGTTTCAATCCTGCTCTCGAGATTGCAGGGGCAAGCTTTTAGGGCGAGATCTGGTTTACCTTCTCGGTTCGCTTTTTGCTCTCGTCGGATTATAATTTTCCCGATTCATTCAAATGAAAGACTGCTTTTAGGGTACCACTGTGAACCTAGACCTGTAGCTGCTTCTTCGTTTGGTGGCAGGGAAGGAGGAGGGAGACTAGTAGACTACGATAGTAGTATATGCGACCTCCACACAGAAGGATGTGTGGAGGTTTCAAGGGCACTGATTGTCGACCATCACCTGACAATCTATTTTCTTAAAGCTGGGGCACTTTTGGCAGACTGCGGCCACCTTCCTATTAATCTCCCTCACCAGCCTATGTCACCTGAGGCATCTGAGAATCAGCAAGGGATAATCTACGGATCCAATTACGTCTAGGAGCGAATATTCATATTGCTAAAGTGCACAAACAAAAGGGATGGGAACATCAGAGGGAGTAAGCTAGCTAGTCTCGACGATCTGTGGAGTGAAGAGTGAGGTGTTTATGTACCATCGGTATCTCGATCCCAAAAGCAAGAGGTCGCTGTGATCATTCCTGCTCCGTTTTTCTGCATGATGACGCACGTCACTGCAACCGAGTTCGAACGTCAGCGTTGGACTCGGTTAGACTCGGTCATACAACAGCCTCACCCTCGCTCACATGCGTTCATGTACGTAATCTCTCTCGGGAGCCTGATTGCGGTACAGATGACAACGCTCTTAAATGTGGATGATTAGGTTGGTGGAAAACAACTCGAATCATAGAGACCCTCATTATCTGTTCATCTGTCTTGACTTCAATCATCTACAGTTTCGAAAGTACTTTCTCCATTCTTTTACTTCATTCTGGCGAAAATTTACTCCTAACATCTACTGCTTGCCACCTATCTGCATGCGCAACCGGGGGCAAGAACCCACTCTGCCAACTAATCGTCACAAACACACTTCCTCGACATCAAATGCTGCCAAGTATCAATAAGACTTGTTCGTTCGATTCTATGCTGATCATAAGCGCCTGATATGTTCCTTCACTTTTCGACATTGGTTTCGGATCGCATTCACGAATCTTCTCCAACTGCTCCCCGTGTGCAAGCTTGATAGGGTGATGCCTGATAAGGAGCTACAACAACTTGACCGTCTGTTTCCAGGCCAATCATCTATGATTATCGGCAAAGGCGAAGGGCATATTTCGGGTTCCCCGAGAAGATTTGACGATCACTTTACCCAGAAGGGCTACACGTTTGTTCATTCCATTAATTGCTCATGGTCGCTTTTACCCGGAAGTCGTTCTGTTTCAGCGTTTGACAGACAGTGAGATACCCCCAACTACATTCTTCTTGGCTGTTTGCACGCGCAACTTCGGTTCATGGGATGATAAGCCATTTACTTTATCCACCTGCTCATCAAGATCTTGGGCCTCCTGTCTTAATACAGTCAACCTCGTCCCCCATGCTGATAAATTTCAAATTCTTACTTTTCACACCATCCCCGTGGACTCTCTCACCTCACCTCCCGCACTGCCACTGACTACCGACGGCATGCCCAGCAAGAAGAACAAGAACAAGAAAAAGAAAAGAGCACGATGGCGACGATCTCCTCTCTCGCGCTCTCGCTCTCTCGCCGCGGTCGGTTGGCTCTCGGCATGCGCAGCTATTACCGATGTATTTGAAAGGCTTGGCTAAATTGGTCAGGCGCTTCATGCACACCTCGGCGATTCCATTGGTCCAGTGCGTAACCTGCGCGGGTGAAAACTCGCATCATTGTCCGCAGATGCTGCTTTGGGGGTTCCATTATTAGAGGACGAGCACAAGGGTTGTCATGAGAAGTGGCGAGAGGGAGAGGCAGAGGCAGAGGCGGAGAAGAGGTGCGGAGGATAGACACCGGCTGCTGCAGAGCGAGCAAATGCGGACGCGAGCTCGGAAAGCCCATCCATCCGTGCGAGATTTACGCCGTAATCGAATCGATCGATCCGATCCAATTAAAGTCAGGCACCAGCCACAGCATCGGCAGCAGCTGCTGCTCCTGCTGGTGCTGCAGCGCTGGCTGGCTGGCGGGCTGACGGGGCCGGACCCGGTGACGGACCCTGACTGCGACTGAGTTGCTACGAGGGCCTGTCTGACCGACTTGATTGACTACATACATGGACGCAAATAGTTCGTGCACAGTAGGCAGCGGAGGGGCGAGGGAGGAGGGAGGAGGGAGTCAGGAACTTTAACCTATCTTGTCGGGGCCGGGCAGCGGAGCATCGTTATCTTGGTCGGCAAAAGCTGGGCTCACCTTATCGTGGTTGAACTGCGAACTGACAATGGCTTCGTCGATCGAGTCTTTGATGATGCCATTGATCTCGTCGGCCAGAAAAACGCCCTGCACAATTCCAGCGTCATTATCTCGTCGCAGACGACTGATTGCGCATCTTTGAACTTTATCGAAGAAAAGCACCAGCGCGACGGGAGGAGGGAGGGAATGAGTAATCGAAGACGGACGGGGCGGAAGCATGGACGAAAGGAAGAATGAATGGATGACTGAGGGCGACCGACACTGCCGATCGCTACTGCGGCTTTTCTTGAGCGCACATTCACGCAACAGGGTCGGTCGGATCCAGATGGATCCAGGGATCGATCGCCACAGACCTCATCTAGAATTGCCCTCGCCATGGGTCCTCCAGCGCTGCTCTGCCCTCCCTCCTCCTATCTCCGTGCTTTTGCCTCCTCTTCCTGCGACTGCGCCTTTGCTTGGCTGTGTGGCAACCGCAATTAAGTCACTCCTGGAGCGGTTTGTTGTTGCAGAGCTAGTCTAAAGCAAGTAAAAACACAAGACCGGGTACCGTATCCCGAACCCTCAGCCGGTCGGCCACGAGACTATGAATGTGCCGCTGCCGCGGCCGTGTGAGGACGGGGCTTGGCTTGCGTCTGCCTCGTTGGCTCGTTATCGTGTTTATGACAAACTGCTGTAAGAAGGTGAAGTGTAAGTAAAACCCAAGCGACGATGGCCGGGTCACGCGCTTGCTTGCTTGCTCTACTCGCACGGTTTCGCAGATTCTGCTGCTGCTAGATGCAGGCAGAGAGCGAAACTCGCTCGCTGACTGACCGAGCGGGCAAGCGTGCACGCATCTACGGGCCAGATCTTGCAACATCGGTGGGGCTGAAGGCAGAAAGGGCGAGCTGCAGGTGGGAGGGGCGCAAGGCGAGCTGGCTGGCTGGCTGGCGGCCTGCCTGCGAGCGAGGGCTCGTCAGCTTTGTTTGCTTGTGTGCATCACAACTTTCGAAATCTTTCGTCAATCCCTCGTCCTTAGGAATTACAACACAATGCTGGTGGAAGTGCGTTGGCGATCGCACTTCCACTCAATGCAGATGCAGTCACCTGCTACGCTAAGGGTTGAATCTTGGTGGTCTTTCCAATGAGCGCGAGAGCTGCGCGCGCTTGCCGGGGAGGAATCAACTCACTCCTGTAGCAAGGAAGACACGATCTAACTCCCCGTTGTGGCGACGCTTCCCTCAGCAGCTCCGAAACGCAACGTAATAATGTAAGAAACCCACAATTTGACCACTGCGAGCACGGGCTGCTGGATTGAGCGCTGTGCACACATTGCCTTTAATCAGTAGCCTCGGAAGTACGTGAATTGTTAGTCGTTTCGTGGTCCGCAGCGTTGGTGCCAAAGTTGCAGGCACATCGAAGCACTACATCATGGGTGATATAAACACCATGTCATCGTCTAACCACCCCAATCACTGTTACGAAGGAGAATCTGGTGAATTATGGTCAAGGTAGTGATCGCATCGTTCAGATGAGCGAGCATATCCGTCTCGGGTATTGTTAGGATCAGTCAGAATGTGCACAGATTGCGGATAGTGTCGTCTGCCATGGACTGCGACAAAATACCCCGAACTTGACGAACGTTCTTTAGGCAGGGCTTGTCTTTGGAGAATCGGAGTTCATTTTAGACTCAATGCTCTCGAATTCTGTCTGCCTTGTCTCAGTCATGGGAACTTATCGGAGAAGCACAATTCGCTTTATTTACTGCAGAGGCAATGGTCAAAACCTAAGGGCAGCATATCACCATGGAGGTGTGTTCCATTCGACGCAATGGTAGGACGAGGCTGCAAGAGTTTAGAGGCTCAGGGGAGCGAGCGAGGATTCAAATTTCGCGGAGGGAGAGGAGTGGATCAATGACGAATAGAGCCATCAGCCCGAGAGCACAAGCCGACGAGTGCCGAATCGAGGAAAGTCCAGTGAGACCACGAATTTCAAAGCCATATCGGACGAATGCTACGACGGCAAAGCCCCATTACCAAAAGCGTACGAATGAGCTGATTGTCGTTGGGCATGACGGTGGGGAACGACAAGCTTTTAGGGTCAATTGCATGCCAGGATTTCGAGGCCACCTTTCGGAACGCTCTGAAAAGACTACAGAATCGTACGTCTCCCCGTTGCCATCAGTATCTCAGCCACCACATCCGTCACGTCCAGATCCAACATCAAACAATTTATTCCCCAATTCGACATCGTCATCCACATTCAAATGCTCTAGGACTCCGAGACAGTGACAGCTAACAACCTCGTACACCGGGGGAAAATGAATAATTCGAATCCCCCATGATCCGACTGCAGTTCCATTTCCACCGTTCATTCACGCTCTCATTCCATCATTCAGTCCCGTCCGTCCCTCTCTCGTACGTCAGAGCGTTGCGGCGCTCTCGAAACCGACAGCAGGGGGGGGGAGCGGATTGACGAGCCCACCGATCCGATGCCACCCCAACCCTGAATGCACCGAAAGCCCCGACGCTCGCAAGCAAGCACTGCAAACCCTAATTGCCATCGACAGAGACGATCGCTCCTCCCTCGCGCTCGCAGGGCGAACGAACTACCACCGGCCGCAGTTTTTCATCTGCAGAAGAAGGTGCAGAGAGCAGCAGCAAGCGACAGCTGCTGTTCTACAGTAGTGCGCACTTTATCTGGAACGTAGACTCAGACTCGCACTCGCGATGCCAATCCGCCTCCCTCGCCATGGCGCTCTCGCTGACCGACGGCATGTGCCACTGCAGTTCGTCATTGGCCACGGCTGCGGGTCTGTCAGTCCCCAGTTCCCAGCGAGGGCCTGCGACGCAGTTCCGGGCCAACAAAGCGGCCGCATCTAAAGATAGATGCGCTCCTCCCTCCACCATCGGGCCGCCTCGAACCCGATCCCGCCCGTCATCGTCCCGAGCCGTGACCCCGCGGGGCCGTTATGTAACCCTTTCCGTCTGTGGATCCGCGGGCTCGAGCAACGGACTCATTGGCGCAGGGAAAGCGCGAAATCGGGCTCGGAATGGATAGATTTGTGGCCCGGGCTTCCAATATTCACGCAGCAGAGTACAGAGTGTGCGCAACGGAGCACACCAGACCGTTGAGGATGTGCGTCATGTGCCTCTCTCTCTCGGTGATGACGATGACCTAAACGCTTTTGAATCGAGGAGAACAGTCCGAGCGAGCGAGCGAGGAAAACTGGAGGAGATAATGGAAAAAAGAAAATGGAGGACCCACCTGCTGCCAGGGGAGGAGAAATATAAAAAAAGCTGGGGCCGTATCTGACTGGTAGATTTTGGTGGATACATTCTCAGAGAAAGGTCCTAGTTTCTAGAACATAAATGAATAAAATCTCGCTGGACGGGATACAAACTTCACGGATTCCGAGAGAGGGGAGAGAGAAGGAGAGAGAGCGAGGGAGACTAGACTAGACCAGACCATAATGCGAATGGGCTGTGGTCCCGGGCGAGAGTCATCATTGTCATCATCTTTGTGGGGTCTGGGCCCGTGGTCAATGTGTTTTAACGCAAAATTCCTTTGACTACTTCCGATGGTGACTACGGTGAGATCAGCCCCTCTCTCCCCATCGCTCCTAATGCGCTGGAATGAAAGTGTGCAAGCTTGTGCCAATTTAGGGTTTGTGGTCGAATCCCCGAGACGAATCAGCAGCTCGGCTCGGCTCGGCTCGGCTCGAACAAAATCCCCTCTCACCCTTTTCCTGTAGAGCCTAGCTTCAACCCTCGTAGGCGTCAATATTTTAATGGGATTCACCGATTTTCATCTCCACTGGTTGGGATTCCAAACCTTCCCGGCTCGTGACCACGGTTACAAGGACTATAAAGACAAGTTTATTTAAATCCCCTTGTGTTGACGCAGAGCAGGACAAGGGAGCAAAGTACGCGAGGCTCAAGTAAGTCCATGCAAGACATATTTTACGGTTGTTTTGTTCTTGGCGGTCAAAGAGGTGCGAAGTGTGATCAACATGGCAGTCCAGAATTATGTGGTCGGAATAAGGGGGCAGAGGATAGCCATAATGTGGGGGCTTATAGAGTCAACTTGCGATGGCAACCCCCAGGACTATGTCTACAAGTAAAACAACCCTGCTCAGCCTAGATCGCTCAGATGCGAGGTCACCGAAGGCCGTTTGTCATATCTTCAAGCCGCAGATGTGTTCCACATTATCAACAAGGTGTTGTTCGCTGAAATGATTTGATGTTCCAATTTCATTCACGTGGAAGCCGATTGTAGGGTCACCTGAGGACGTTACCATATTCGACGTTTGTTTCTAGGCCTCCGAGTAAGTGACGTCCAATCTAGCATAAGCAGGTGGGGTCTCGAGACTCATGTCTGGATCCTGTTGTGGTTCTCCATGTCTGATGTGACGACCGAAAGATGCAAGACGCTCGCAAGTAAAACCAGAGCTGGATTCCAGATGATGAACGCCCACCGAACCGTGTGTGGACATGGCGATTAGGAAGGGGATGAGGGTAGGAGAAGGGCGCATATTCTGGAATCTTTCTCTACGCCTCCACTAACTGATTACAATTAAGACGAAAAGTTACCTTTTGATTCCGCTCAGTGGCGTCTTAGCAGTGGGAAGTGACCACCAAACCACCCAAGACATGAAAACAGAAAGGTACTCCCTCCAAAGGATCATTCTTATCCATCTGACATCAGAATAATCTGCACGAGCAGAATACAAACAGCATTACATTCCCATTAGCGACATCACACGGGTTTACGGCCACTGAATAAACTTTCGATGAAGACTGTGCATTCACCTAACAGAGCTGTCATTGCTTTTGATGCTTCAGCGGTGAGGCCGGGTAAGAGTCCTCTAAGAATCTGCTCAGTGATGAATCTGATGGTGCCTGTGGAGCGTGTCTGCTGCTACTGCTAGCATGACAACATCTGTTCGATTTCGACAAACTTCAACGAGGATCCAGATTTGGCGACCATGACGAGAATAGTCACCGAAAGTGCTCCCTTCGAAGTTCCCGACCCCTAAAGTGAGTCGGTTCCTACTCACTTGCTAGCGGTGCCATTCAGAGGGACTGAATTCAGCCCAGCCCAGTAAAGCCCATCCCACACCCCCAGGAGGAAACAGAAACCCTAAGGCCAATAACGATGACAACGTGAATTATGGACCTGCGGGAGGAAAACGACTTGCCTCGACTTTGACTGACTTTATTCCCCTGTGGAGAAATGGTTGACAAATATCTATCCATACGGGAAGGAAGATCCCTCGGAACAATGCATATTCTATTGACCGCTCGAAAAGTAAGCCGTTGAGACTCAGAAAGTAGAGGGATTCGACCTCCATGCAAGTTGCACTGGATTCTCTTAGAGGCCTTTCGATCCATCGACCTGCAGGCTACAACCCTACGAGCATGCCGATCGTGAGGTGACTTTATTCTTGAACTTCTGAACAGAGTTGACGAACAGTTTCATGGATGGACGCGAGTCTACTCATAAACAATTCAGAATATGATGGTTAGCGACAAGTTGGCGCCGCATTTCATGAATCTGAACATCATGTGTCTTTTTTCTTTAATTTTTATTCCACCATAAAATATTGCGCGCGAAAAAACTGTTTCTGTCATTCTTTCAGCCTCACTCCATCACCAGACTGAAAAGAGATTGCAGCAGTCCAACACAAATGCAGCACGGAAGGAAAAGCGGACACTGGGGGAGGAATGCAAGGAATGGAACCTTTTGGGGGCGTAACTCTCCGCAGGAGCACTGTGCGACTACACCAGGCTAGGGTTCGAATGAAGGGTTGGTCGTCGTCGTGCAGAAGCCTTATCAGCGCCTTTTGTGATCAAATCGACCATAAAATACTTCAAGTACATATTTCGGGCATTGTGTGCATAAATGCAAATTATCTCAAAAGGTGGAACAATACAACTGCCTTGATGATGATGACCGCACCTGAGTCTGAAAACCCTAAATCCAGTCTGTGTACATTAAAGCAAGTCGAACTTAGAGAGTTCGGGAATTTGGGAGCTGCACTGTTTGCAACTTCGCAACTGCTGTGGAGTTTTTCCAACATAAACCTCATTGATTTCGGTCCATGTTTTAAAATTTACTGTAGTCTCTTTCTCATTATGTTGAAGTGAATGTTTTTTATTCCATCCGAGTGGATGTCTTCTTTTGCCGTCTGATGTGGTCAAAGTTCTTCACCGCAACATTCTCACATCTGTTGCTTGCAGTATCTTCTTCCAGCAAGTTAGATCCACACATAATGCCTGTACACCTTGACTTGTGCAGTGTACCATATTAGCTTTGGTAATCCGCCTCCCATCTCCTGAACTCATTCCTGTTCATCTGGAATTTTCTATACTCAGTATAATCGTGAGATTACAACTTCTTGAAGGTGTAAATGATCACCTGCTCATCGTCATTCCTGTGTACCGTATTCCGTGGAAATGATTCCTGATTGTGACTGCTTGCGTCCAGTAGCCACGACCCATCAGAGAATCTATCATCCAGAGGATTTCAAATTTATTTACTTGCAAACCTTTAGTACGTGAAAAGAAAAAGGTTGTAAATGCTAATTGCAAATGAAGTCTTTTTTATGTGGTCAACCTTGTAATACCTGGGTTGTCGGGTTTTGTTCACTCTTCCTCTCTCATTACTCTACATACCGTTATGTACAATATTTGTACCACAACTACTTTACACAAAGTATCATGTATGATTCGGCTACGACCCTTACATTCACTCCGTGAGTGTTCTAACATGGGCTTTTAAATACGTTCACACAAACATTAGTGACGGCCACGTTCATACTGATTCTATCTAAGATTTACATTGGGAGGATAGGGAAACATCAATCTAAGTCAAAGGTAGAAATTTTGCTGGCATCTCCTCTCATTATTGATTCATCACATGAGCAGCAACAAGGTGTGACATAATATAGAGGCAGGGAAAATAGATTGTTTAAATGATTAGAGCAAATGGAACAATCAAGTTTACAGAAAGAGGTAGGTGAAGTACAAGATGGCAACTGCTAAAATTTGCATATTTCATGGACTCCATGCACAAGAATACTCTAAATCCTAATGTAAACGTTAGAAAACCCCTTTCTTCTATCTACCTGCGGCAGATAGAAGTTGAAGCTTTGTCACTAAAGCAATAGCAGAAAGTTCTCTTCATCGTCTTTTGAGATCAGAAAGAGAGCTTTTTGCATAAGACAAACAAGAGTTCTTTGTGAATATCATGCCTCCTTGAAACTAGTGACCGACTTTAAACGTACTGAATGCTCCACATGTTTGCTCGAGCTGTCAAAGTGTGGAGTATGAGACCACTGCAGTACGCAGAAAGCATAGCCATGTGGACATGTCTCTTCGAACAAATCATCAGCTAACATCAAAATGATTCTAAAGACAAGAAAGCGACTTAGTTTGAGCAACTAACTATTGAGAAAGTTCTCCTCGGAAGAAACCTTTTCGATCTCAGCCCGCGGGGAGCAGAGATCGAAAAGCTCTAGCACTAGGTGACATAAGGTTGGAGCTGTCGGCTCTCATGACAAGTGGAGTCTTGAGACTAAGGTCATAAGACTCTTCTTTAGAACAATTTTATTCCATTAATAATTGATCGAATAATCTAAAAAGTGCTTCCGTGAAGGAGAATATATGCGAATGCCGTGTATGGGGGCAATCAAAAAAAGTGTTTCTCATTTGTTGGAAACAAGAGAAAGAAGTTCTGCTGCAAGTTGTCGAGGTGACAGGTGGGGTCTACTACCTTGAATCCCATTCCTGTCGCAAGACTTGCAACTTTTTTTACACATACTTTACAAGCATATTAGCTTAATGAGTACGTGTTGTTGTAAAGAATGTCGATGGAATCTCGGTGGTTTTGACGGGATCTAGTTTTAGTTGACATCCGAAGTAGGCCCTTCTGATATCCGAAGAATATGAGTTTTCTCATAGTGAATCATTCTCCTATCTGCATGGTTGGTCTATTGACTTGAAACAACGTCTCTTAATGGAATCGCTTATCCGTAGTGTTTAGGCACGCTAAGTTTTATCACATTTCTTCATTGTTACTGATCTTCACGTCGAGATTTCAGCATTAGAACCAGAACTAATACTATACTCAAAATGGAATCCTCATCGACCTTATAAACCACTAGTAATTCGTTTGCCATGAATCAACTGAATATAACAATCAAAGTAGACATGTCTTCGTAAGACTAGACTACGCAAATCGTTTCTCTTTTCCAATGTCAACCCAACCATTCAGAAACAAGAAGAGGCCTTCAAAAGAAAAGTGATAGACAATGCCACAAAAAAATCTATTTTTGAAAGGACGCGCTGAAGTATTTAGACGCACATTCGATACTCTTGGATCCACCGACTTCCTCGGTTTACAAGTCAAATTGTGAAATATGGACCACGCTGACAAGAACGGTCCTCTTTCACAGAACTGCAACTTCGTTGTTGGATAAGGAGAAGGGCCTGAATTGCTTTGCCTCCTGAACTAAACATATGTGTAGCAGTAACCCAATCCGGTCCCATTGTATGGTGAGCCCATTAAGGATCCTCATCACAACCTGGATGCGAACTGACCTCACCAACAGGCTACTGTACAGGAAACCCAAGGCGAATGATTGGAACAAAGCGTGTCCAGTTCCACGCAATTCCACTTGCAAGAATGTTTGACGTCGATCACCGATTCATTCTCGATGATCTAGGTCGAGACTGCTTAGGTTTATGCTTATCCCTAATCAAACGGTCCAAGATTACGGGATCGAACCGATCGGCTTTCTAAAAAACGATTTCGAAAACACGGCAAGTGGACCGCTTTGAGAGGCTCACAATTACCAACATCGCTAAACTTGAGTTCGTCCTGGCAGAAGAAACGCGGCATGACCCAAGTGCAGGAGAAGTGCATGGGCTTACATGTAAACCCTGGCCCATGCACTCATAACTTCCTCGACACCTAAACTGGCATGTCTGGATCCAAACTCATGCAAGCACCTCCCATCGACACCTACGACGGATTCGGCCATGCCGAGCGACCGAGCAAGAACGAGCGCAACTTGGCCCAAGACCATCCGATCTGGACTTTGACCCGAAATTATTAGGGCACCCCGGGTCCGATTTAGCAACCCTCGGGTTCTCGCCAGACCGATCAGGCGTTGGATCGTGCTGCTTTGACCTAGAAACTGCAGGTGCTAATCGCGGACGCGGTAGGGCGAGTCGAGTCACCGTCTGCCGAGAAAACCATGCCCATGCTCGGGGACGGACGCTCATTAACCGCAGGCCGCAAACACGCGAAGCCAAAAAAAACCCGCGAGGGAGTCCGCACGACAAGTCCGGTCCCCGGGAAATGCGCATGCGGTGGGCCGCACACTGCCGACGTCTAGGACCGAACATGTTTCCTCTTGCGGCCTTACGCGCTCGCCCAATGTTGGAACATGTTTTGGCATAAATAGCCGCGAACTCTAAATTCCGCACCTCCAGCTGCCCCCGGATCACGATGGCTGCCGCAAGGCAGGGATGCGGGGCGGGGCGGGGCGGGGAGACATGGCATGCTGCCGCAAGGCACGCATGCCGGGTTTGCCCCCCATCATCGCCCCCAGCATGGGATGCAATGGAAGGAGCATGAGGATGATGGGGCATGTGCAGCATGAGCATTATGGCGGCCGGCTTGCCTCACTATCTGTTACAGGAGGAGGGCCGCGCGGGAGTTGGAGAAAAGCCGAGAAATGAAACGACTCCTTGTAACAGTACCGTAGCCGGGCCGGGCCGGGTCGGGTCGGGCTGCGATGTACGCCGGACACGATGGACGGCTCCCGGGGCATGAGCGCTGGAGGAGCACCTGGAGGTCGTCGATGCCGCACATTCGGGCGCGTGTGCTGTCGAGGAGTAGCGTCATGGAGGCGCCAGCGTGCGGGAGCTCGGTAGGGGTGGCGCCGGACGTGATGGTGGTGGTGGTGGCGATGGCGACGGCGAGCGAGGAGCAGGAGAGTAGAGTAGAGAGGAGGAGGAAGAAGAGCTCCAACGAGAGAGACAACGCGAGAGATGGAGAGGGAGGGAGGGAGGGAGGGGGCGGTTCCAGATTGCATCTTCCAAACGTCGTGGCCATTTAGTTGGAGTGGAGGAACGCGCGTTTCTTTCAGGCGGATTCAAACTTTGACTTGGAAGAGGAGGGCGAATGTACTTATACACTAATGTTCACGGAAATAAGTCAGTGCCGGTCAGTGCGAGATACAGTCTCTATCTGGTCTCGACCGACCACTAACGTGAAAGTTGTCGTTTGTTTTACCGGCATGTACCTCACGTCCTTCAAAGTTGGAGCCTTGTATAATGACTAACGAACGAACCCGCGGTGCGTAGAACCAGTGGTGAGCCTGATTCTTAGCCGATATTTTCTGTTGAATCCTGCGTAACTGCAGCACATTGTCGAGAGGTCTGGCGGAACGATCTACTCTAGTGCCCGACGTTTTAGGATCCCCGATCACAAGTTCCATCCTGCAACATCTTTGCGGCATTATGCGATCATGTAACGATGATAAATTCTTCACAGCTTCCGCATTGAGGATAGGGTTACAGGCGGAGCCGGTTGATGAAAGGTGAAGCTGAGCCTACGGTAAGAATCTTGCGCCTCACATTAATTTTGCCCCAGAGGTTCATAAAGGAAATAAACTGCATCGAGGGGCCAGTATGGAAATGGAACGAGATCACCACCAAGTGTGAAAAGACGATCACGAATATGAGAAGCGACGAACACCAATAATAGGGGCCCTCAGCACCAACTTCATCAATGTGCAACTTTATGTGGACTGCGAATAATTGTGAGTGTCAACATACTCGCCATATGCTTTTCTTTTACAGGAGCTGCGCTGCGCGAAGGCCGAGTCCATGAAGAATATCAGTGTGGAGAAGGATACATCCTCCAACCTTATCTACAGCTGGTTGACAATGACAATATAATTGGATCTTGAATTGATGATTGCAAATAATGTAGATTCTTCGACAATATGACACCACGCTCTTACCACCTATATTTGGACTTGTGTTAGGAGAAGGTTGCTTGAACTAACAAATGATTGACGGAGATGAAGGACATAAAAGACCTATTCCATCACCTGATGTCGAGCTGGTCGATCTCTGCTGAGCAAAACTGTGCACTCTTGCGTTTGTCTTGATGGTTGTCCGCGATACTGTTTAGCAACCTCCGACTGACCTACACTGGTCACGATCTTTAGGGTTATATGTTGATAAATCCACCCACTTCAAATCAGGCACTTACAGTACAACCCTGTAAGTGCCTGTCTAGAACTTTCCTGGGGCGTAAGGGATTCATTAGCAGTGATGAATGACTGACTCACAGTGATCACGATCTTTGCCTCTTTCCGACTGGTTTAAGCATCCCGTGTTCGTAAGGCCCTGGCTCGAGTCATGATGCTCGGCAGCCCATGAGTTCGTCAAGCCCATAGACAAAGATCCGTCTCTCGGGAGCTGTACCTCCAGCTTGATCACGAGACAGAGGGAAATCGAGGAACATAGAACGAGCAAGTCGCACGAAGGTACCAGATACTCAAAACCTCTCATTTTCTTTTATAAGACTAATTACGAAACCGTATTTTTTGCCATTATTCACCTCCACGAAAGTAAACACAAATGGTGAGTTTTCAAGTTTGTCCCTATCGAGCCCATAAGTTATACGAGAAAGTCGGCTAGGTTCGTACAAGGTCTTGTTTCCCACCGAACTTACAGCTGAATCTATGCAACATGTGGCTCTCCCCAATGAGGGCTCATAATCGGCTCAGGTGAGTTCAACGTCCAACACGTTCGACAAAAGGGACTTGTGTTCGCTCGCATGAGGAAGATGGAATGTTAGAAGCTATCATGGGTTGCGAGATCTTTTCCAGTTGACCTGCTGATACTCATGCAACTATGGACATGATAGTCTCAAGGTTCTCCCAAAAAAGACAGAAACCAAGTTTGAACAAATTTGCGTAGTTTTAAGTATCTGGAACAGTAGATAAGAGCCGGGTACTTTACCCACGATGTCCTCCTAGCTAATCGAGCAAATCAACAGTGCTCGATGGATGGATGGCACATTGGCACTGCAGTCGACTTTCTCCGAGCAACATTCCTGGAAAGAAGCAACAGAACAAGGAAGGTAAGTACACTTCGCCGAACATCTTGTGTTGGAAACTTTACACCAACATATTGCGGAATATATCAAAAGCTCAGCTGGCCAGAGTTTCATGCATGAAAGCCATTCAAGCGAACTTTCCATACAACTCCTTGTGGTTTTGCGCATGGACCGGTCCGTACTGTTGTTAGTTCTGATTGCACGAGGAGCATTGCACCTCCGGATTCTGAGGGTCGACTTTTTCAGAGGATAGAAAAATTGGTAAAGAGATTCTATTTCGAGGGAAGGACAAATTGCACTCCTGGTGCAGTATTGTACAGTAGGCTTTGGACTATAGACCTCGCGGCGCGGATGGACGGTGCAAGAATCAGATGCGGGTTGAGAAAGAGAGATAGGAGAAGTGGTTCGGCTCTTCCGACAAGTTGGAGAAAGGTCGCGTTCAAAGTTGAAATCTGCAAAGTGAAAACTTTTCTACGCCATCACGATGTTTGCACAAAAAGCCTTCGGCACAGGACGTCCGAACGAATGAGCTGGTACCGGATTCATGGAGTGATGTGAATGCAACAGTAAGCGCGATGAACCCTCAAATCCTCACGTTACCATTCCATTGAAGTCGAAAAGTTGACAAGTAATGGTGATGCGATCTGCATGGCGTAATGGTCTTCAACGTCCTCATTACATCAAGATGTCGAACTACTGGTCTTCTACACCTCGAGGGCATAGTGACACCGATGCTGTCTAACTTCTATCGGCGCCGGTGGAGAAAGAATAAGTTCGAGAGAGAACTTTTCACTCATCTGACGGAACCATGTACAGTGCAGTCGAATCAGGATGGGTCTCATGTGGATCAAAACAAAGCCAAGAAGGCCGCAAGTACAAGTTTTGTGCGATGCGAGAGTATGAACGTGCGTCTTTTTCCTCAGAAACCTGATCATTATGAGTGACGTCCCTCCTCAAGTGCTACAAGTGCTCCTGGGCCGTCTTCTGCAATTTCCAGCAAAGTCTGGAAGACCATTAGTTCTGTGTAGAGTGTCACATGTTTCAGAAATATGTCGACAAACGCCTGCAGTTGGTCACTATAATGTCATGACGAAGTCGCCCCTACGGATTGGAGCTTTGCACAATGATGTGCAGAGCTCCCCTAATTTAAGAGTAAGTTATCACTTCATTCTCAGACTCCAGAGTATTCCTCTTTCTACGAAATAAATACGTGTATTAGTCTCCCATATTTTGACAGATCTTATCGAAGAGTAAGAGAAAGGTGATATTAACGCTTGGTTTCGCAAAGATCTATAGGTTAAGAAGCTTGTTGGATCACTTGACATTTTCCACTACTCACCATCATCAACACACAAGAGGAAAAGCAGGTACTTGAATGCCATATAATACATGGGGGAGATCATACCACTGGGGTGAAAGCTAACTTACCATGAATGCCAGAACACAGAGAAACTTTTTGAGGCTAAACATGATTGTGTAACTTTGCACTCTAATATATACGCTCTGATCGCACATGCAGATGATTATCACTTTGATTCCCCAAGCTACTCAAGCGACTTGACCAGAACTACTTCAGCCGTAGTTTGTGCTGGTATGAAGAATAAGAGATACAGAAAACAAACGCGAAATCCCCGTCGTGGATAACTGGCCGAAGCCAGTATAACAGTACCGCGACCTAAATCTATCCACTCCATCGGTACGCTCCGCTCCAGTCAGTCCTGGCTCGTGCCGAAAAGTAGATGTACAGTGAACTTCTGATGTAAACGAATGATTCTCAGCGAACGTCATGAAACCATCGAAACAGTGCATACCTCATGAGTCCAGTGTATGATCACAAAATGTACACTAGTTCCATCACCCACAAATCTGGTACTATAAAGGATGGAGAGTATATATATATATATTTATTTATTTATTTATGTAGCATATCGTACAACCGCTAACAACCTTCCACCAATAAGACTCCTATCTGGTGTTGACCCTCATCTTCTTCAATGTGATGCTGCATTTCATGTAAAACTACAAATGTAGTTTGACATCTCAGATTCTCGTTGCACATTGTCTCAAGTTAGCGTTGGATGTCATTTAACCGGTCACATCTCTCATACAAGAGACATGTGATTGAGCTCACTGAGCTTCAATACATCTGCAACATATAAACCTCATCTATCTTCCATCATAAGTTACTTCATCCTAGGATAAGACATAAGTGCAGTTGGATGCTGGGAAAGTGGACAGAATCTAGCATTTGTAGATACATATTTCCGAACCTGTTACTTCCAATCCTACGTACTAAGTAACATGATCGTCAAAGCACATTCTGTTGTCAGAAACCTGACTTCAAGTTCAATGTATAGACTTGATTTACTTAAAAGCAAGGTTCTTTACGTAAGCATCATTCGGAAGAGGATAAATATAAAATTCATCCAAACTCCATGCACATTTCTAAGCTGATCGTACCGGCTACTCGGACCTTGACTGTTGGGAGGAATAGGCACGAAGTCGGCACATGTTATCAAGAGCGTGGTGAGGAGAATTGCATGCGGTACAGGAGCCTAGGACGAAGGGAAGGAGTTGGAATCGTAAACATCATGTCCAAGACAGAGGAGCAAGTTTGGGCCCTACCGAAGGCGCGGAGTATCGTGAAATCGCAATTTTTAGGACCGGTAAAGCCCTCCTCATCTAGTCAACAACATTCGCTTTAATAGTATCTGAGTTTGGAATTCACATTTCGAGTCGTAACGGGGTTATGAAACAAGTGATTTGAGTCCTCCTTGTTGAGGGAAGCTAAAGAGTTGTCTCCGTCTTTAGATTTTCTAAGTCTAGTTGCTCTTCGGGGACCAGTTGTGTGCTGTATATCACGAGAAAAAGTCCAAGTTGACATCCTTAGCCCTACTCAGACACACGAAGCTTCCTGTGCTTAAGATTCTCCAATCCAGAGCCAAAGATATGGCATGTTCAGCTCACTCTGAAATGAGTCTTTTTATCGAGACTGCCGCATTGCCCACGCTGAGATGTTTACATGTACGAACTGTGAGACGGCCATGTACGTCATTTCAAACACGACTGACATTTTCGCCTTTAATTCTTTCTGCAGGGAGTGAGAACTGGTCACGGCCACGAAGTGATGAGAGCACAGTATTCTGCTGGCCTTCTCAGTGATGCTCGGCATGATAATAACTGCCTGCCCATAGATGGTACCAAATATATGAATCTGTTCGCATTGGCGCTTCTCAGCAGTTTGGAGCTTCTCTTTGATGCTCGAGTTATTGCTTAACATGTAATATCGTTTGTGTTAGAAAGGAGACGATGAGACCTAAATTCATCTTAAAATTTCCTAGAAATACCGAGCAATTTTATGGTTTCTTTCCGACTCTACGACCTGATAAAGTTTTAGGGATCCTAAAACTCAACCAATTCTTAACTCAAACTTAACATCAAACAATCTCTGATGCGCTTAAAGCTCAGATTTATGAAATTGAGCAGAAAAACCAACATTGCATTCAGGGATGTTGTCATCGTGTGAGAACACTGAAAGCTGATACATGCGGAGGGAGAGAACCAACATACATAACAATGTTCGAACCATTGTCTTCCACAGTGGACAAACATAATGCGGCTGTTTACAGAGAATGTGTCGACAGTTGCACGATTGGCATGGCAAGTGCACTTGTGTTGAATAACTGCGAGATTTTGTGAAAATGCCGGAAGGATATGTGAAACAAAGATAACCTTCGCAAGGCTAACATCTTTCAAAAGTGCACCCCATGTGACATATGAACTATTTGATCGTACAAGCAAATTATTTATGGAACTCATCGCATGTAAAAATGGTAAGTAAGCAAGGTCATATTATATAGCGTGGAAAGTTGGTGAGCAGGACTACCTTCAACTTCTCCTAATTTTGATTGCACAATTTCATATGGACTGATCTAATGAAAACACATCCAGGACAAGTCTGTCAGGTTTACAAGCAAAAGTTACTCTACATTTTCAAAAGTCAAGCACTGGGTTACCTCGTAAGAAAATCTTCATCTTGCAGGATAAATTGAAGCCCAAAGAACCTGATTCCATAGAGTTCACTATCCTCTAGCACGGCTTTCACACAGCAAAGCCTCGTGGATAAGAGCTCTGATTAAAAATACCTCCTTGCAGACATGGAGATCCCGGGGAAGCACAGTACTTGAGCTCCAACTAACGGGCTGATGAAAGCAGCAAGTGAGCTAGTTAACATCAATTACTCCTGCGTAGAACTAGGAATGAAGAAACTCTCAGATAGATATAAATAGATACAACTGGTTGAAGTAGGAAAATATTAAAGGCTGCCATCTTAAGGTCGAAAAGTCAGTGAGAGGGAAGCTAAAAGTAGCTTCCCTCTCAGTGACTACATAACAGTACTCATAACTCTTCTTAATCAAATTTGGTCATATCGTAAAGATTTCACGAACTATAATAGTCATAGCTTTCCAACAGGAACCATGAGGGTAAAGCATCTTGAACTTCCTCGAACTAAGAAACGCGGAGGGCTTTCCAGTTGATATCTCCAGCATAGCAACTTTGTTTCATAGCTTCCAAAAGTTATCTAGAACTGAAAAGGAGAGTATATTTTTTTAACCTGTCCAGTGTTAGTATGTAAATGTTGAAAAGTATTATAGAACAAGGTTCTAATGACGGGTATTTCTTATTACATAGAAACAAAAGAACTAAGTCATGGAAGATAATACTGCTTGTGACGAACGATTTCCTACGACAATCCCTATTTTCTTGTTAGGGAGTGGCGACAGGATCATTTCGACTTTGATTGCTTGTTAAAACGTGTCATGCCCTGTCTATAAGACCAGGATCTAGGAGTGCACTTCCCAAATTATAATTTCATCGAGGCATAAAGGACACATGAATATGTGAAAACTACAACATGAGTCCTCGCAAAGTTGGAACCACTGTGGAACTGACCACCATGGTCATCTTTCATCGCCTGCATCTATACTGATCTCTGGCCTATAAACCCTACATGTAAAACCTGCAAGTTACTTCTAAAATTTTTTCACATTTGAACCCAATACCTGCGACTGATAAAGCTGTCCTGCCTATGGAAATGGTCTGTGAACTTACAAGCACTTCACACATATTTAAGAGATGAGTTTTACTCAACAGAATGTGGATTGAATTCCAAGAGCTAGTATTGTGTCTGATTAGAAATTATTCAACCCTTGTCAGCTCATCCCAAGCAATGACATCTTTGCCGCTGTATGGAAGGAAGTGTAATGTTTACCGACTTTCTTTCCTGTCTACAACCTCTCTCATTTTGCCGGAGCTGGACCACCAGGCTTGGCGAACTTTTCTGGCTTCGTTTTGGTCTCAGCAGGTTCAAACAAACCAAGCATGTGCCCGTCTAAACACCTCACAGCTGCGACCTGAACAACGACATACAACCACAGTTGATGACACCGAGACGAATGGTCCAAATATAAACTGATCAGACAGAAAAGAATAATAATAAGACCCAGTTGAAGTATGATATGCAGAGAGTTCTTCAGGAGACAGAATATCCCTTAGTCATACACTTCACTTACTTTTCCATGTGGAGCATATTTGATAGAGCCGTCTAATTCTGCACCCATGGACAGAAGCCTAGTTACAGTTCCCTCCATGTCATCTATATCGAAAGAAAGAAACGGAGAATAACCTCTTGCTGGAGGATCTGTTCCCCTGCATTCACAAGAAGCCATGAGTAGGCAATTCGTTCAGAAAAAAAGAGAGAAGATGCTGTGCACAAAGAAAAGCTGTAAGAAAATTTATGTTTGATTTAGGCATCCGAGTAGCAGAAGCTATATAATTGGCCACTCTCTTAGAAGAAAACTGGAAAGCGGGAGAGAAGGATGAACAGCAATTGTACTTTGGAGCTTGCATGAGGGCTATCCTGAAAGCCCCGGACTGAAGCTCAGCCCAGCGCTCAGAGCAAACAGTTACAGCTAGTCCCAGACCATGTGCGTAAAATCTTGCTGATCGTGGAACATCTGTATTCAACAGCACGATGTACTTCAACAGAGCCATAGCATGTATTCTCGTCGACCGGAGGACGTTCACTTCCAACACGTCGGCACCTATTTCTTCGACATCTCTGGGACGCAGTCATAAGATAATCTACAAGAAAGTAAGAATCAAAATCAGTACTGCCCTCAAAATTGAAAAGGTCACAAATAAGCACATGGCTCGACTTTGAGGGACAACACGAGAAGCAAACCAATAGCTGCACAAATGCGGAAATTCTCGTCTTAAACATCCATGTCACCTCCACCTGTTACAAGCTTTGAACATTTTACTTAGGATTACAACTGGAATTAGCTACAACTCTACGACCTCAGACTGAATCTGAAATCGTAGAGTTGAAGCTGATACCAAAGTGGAAAAGAAGAAGGAGAAGAAGTCAGAAAAGTTCCAACCAATTTTTATCATCATGCAGAGCATGGCAATTCAGAATACACAACAAAACAACTGAGTTTCACTCTAGCGCGATCGAATGTCCGTGCACGATAATTAACTCACACGGCTGCTACTCTCAGTCCCCCATCCAGATACTCGCACCGTCGCCCAATTACTTGGAGAGCTTCCCTTCTACGAACCCATGAATCACAGCGGCAGCCAGCTCTCTCTCTGTTTCCGACAAATAAATACTCGTCTCCTCGCTCCCTCTCTCTACTCTATCATCCCTCGCCACTTTCTAGACATGGTCACGTAGCCGCCTAATCTTCGGCTAGGGACTCAAATTTAGCCGATTAGCCCACGGCTATCAGCCGAAATCGCATTTCGGCTGAAATATTCGGTCGAAGTAAGGATTTGGGGAATAATTTCGGATCAATCAGCCGAAATAATCGGCCGAAAACTCAAGAGTTGGTCCGAGTTTTCGGGTCGTTTTCGGCCTCCAGCTAGCCGGTAAGTCGACCGGGTAGCCGGATAACAAAATAATTAGCGGGCTAGCCGTTAGCCAAGCCGTGAGCATGCCTACCACCGAATCCCTTCTCCCATCACTCGAGGCTAAACCATCAAAGAGGAAGACGATTCTGACATCTGGACGGCACAGACAGGAAAATCGTCCTTTTGCTTAACAGCGCAATGAGATCGCCACCACGCCCATAAAATTCCAGTCACAAGAAGAGTATTTATCTAAGCAGAGAGAACATGACAATGTTTTTTATATGTACATGAATAAAAACAAGAGTGCCCTGAACTAAAGAATCCATCAGCCTCGACAAGCATACTTACCAGGGTGAGTTTGGATGAAGTTACTGCTGCACACGGTAATTAGTGATCTTACGCATTAAAGTGTTTCAAATTGAGTTATCTCTCATCTTTTTACATGGGAGTAGAGTGATGCGAAAAGAGCCAAGCTATCCAAGCATTAGATGCGTTGGAGCTATCTGGATGGTGCTCAAGATGGATGATATGTATATATATATATATATATAATCTTTTGTTATATTTTTGCTAAAGATTAGATTATTATGATTATATTTAACATTGAATGCATACTTTTTTGAATAATTTCTTTGAAACCTAATTGAGTTAAAAATCTAATATTTTTGACTTGCTTATGATTTTTTTAATCATAATATTTTTTTACTAATTTTAAAATAGTATTTTAACAAGAAATTACAGAAAATTACATTCTCTGTAACTTTTAAGGTTGAAATGAGCATATGTTGTACATGTGTAACATCTCATGTTTCTACATGTGATTCCATGTACATTTAAACAAAGTCTTGAATTGAAAATAAAAAACCAAATTTTTTATTTTCAATTCACATTGAGTTTATTGTGTGATATGCTAATGTCATAAAATATAAATTTGTGAAAAATGAATCGAAATTATAAATGTATTTTTTTTTTGCGAAATCCTACACGAATCTTCTTGCATCTATCAATGCAGCACAACTTGTACCATGTTTGTAATTGCGTAAATTAAAATTATGTAGTATGTCACTTGTTCACATAATTTGTTTTGAAACTTGATAAATAATGCGATGATTGTACACATTTAGATCATAATTATTTAAATAATGTAAATGGGTTTTGCGTGGATTACAGAAAATGTTTGTATTTTAAAATGTAGTGAAATAAGAAATAACGGGATACAAATATAAAGGACTTAAAAATCAAACAATGTTCAAGTAGTATAACAACAGAATCAAACTGACATCTACTTTTCAATATCCAGGTCATGCAAGTTGCACTTTTAAAGTACTCGCTATGAGAGCATTACAGTTCTTTTTTATTACATGGATTATATCTTCGGAGAGATATGCTACTTGGCCATGACAGTTGTGGGTAATATTGATGAGCAGTTCATGCCATAAACGTGAAACCAGCTAGGAGGCTAAATGATGAATGCGTCACTTGGCAATATAACAAAAAGGGTGGATATATCTTGTTATGTAAATAGAAAAAAAGGAGAAGAATACCTCAAGCACAGGAAGAAACCGAACTGGTCAGTATGTAAGGGGCTAGCTTCAATGTAATATGGGGCTAGTTCCAATTGTGTCGAAATGGTAAGTATATCATAAGTTATGTAAGAAAAGTTAGCAACGATATAAGGAAAAAGGTATGCAAACAAAAAGCATCAACGAAACTGATCTCTATCCTTCGTATAGCAGTAACTAGTCTTCCATGTAGAACAACTAGCTTTGCGTCAAGTAGTAATTAATGACAAAATGAGAAAATAGAAAACATGGGGCGAGGCCCTCACATAAATATACGCATTATAGGTCTGAAACCCCTTCTACGCAGTGCGCTGCAGAGCTCAGAACTGCGTCTCTACCATAGTAACTCAGGTTACTCCGTCAAGGTTTAACACCTCGAGGACATGTTTTCTCTCTTGTTATTGGAATTCCTCGCTCGTCGACTAGGGTTTGAGGTTTTCGTGCACTTGATTCAAATTTGTTACCTCCGAGCGAAAGCTCTGATTTCAGCCAGATTTGGTCAATGATGCGTTGAAGAATGGCTGCCAATGTTTATACACAATTACGCATTGCATCACTGTTCACGAAATCGAGAGAAAACTATGTAGGCAAGACCTTGTGAGCTAGTGTCCGGGTATCAGTTTCGGCCTTCTCAGGGGTTTAGTCTGGGCTGGCAGTCCAGTGCAGGCGTAATGAAGGTCAAGGTGATTTCACGCTCCGAGGAGGAATTCACGCGTGAGCGTCGCCAAGATTTGCAGGTGAGTTGAATATTTATGAACTTCGTGATTCTGATTGGACATTGGGTAGTAGAAGTGGAGAAGCGAGAGCTCGAATTAGAGCATGATCGATGAGTTGCTTCGAAGTTTCACGTGAACTCACATAAGAAAAATGCGGCAATCGGGGTTATGAATCTGTTTTTACCGTCGCATTCATTCTCTACGGACACCTTCTATAAGTTCGCTGATAGACGTCAGCATACGTTGTACTACCTTATCAACTCTCTCGTATGCAATCACTAACGAGATATATATCAGCAATTCTTGGTCGCTGGCATCTGAGGAATTGCAATAAAACAATACAGAACTGATGGGTATGGGTCGCATTCAAAGGTTGAAGACACTATATGGTTTTCAGGAACTATGAATTTCTTTTTCTTAGTTGCGATGGTCTTGATTGTAATGTTCCGTAAACACATTTTTCGGGGAACTTTAATAACGGTTCCAAGGTGATTAGTTCCTGGCTTTGTAAATTGAGCATTGCTCTCAAAAGCACATGATGTAATTATACAGCTAGTAATTATTGTTCTTTACAGAAAGTGTTCAGAAACTTGGATCCAAAGCTTCACCCACAGGAAAGGGCTCATGAGTACACTCGAGCCCTGAATGCCACAAAGTTGGAGAAGGTCAGTTTCGTTTGCCTGGTCTGCTTCTATCGTTCATGGTTGTAACCTATTCAATGTCCCTGATCTTAAGATCACATCGTATCAAAACGAGACAGGGTGTCAAAATATCCTTATCTGATAGGTTATATAGTCTATTATGAGTCCCGAGTTTTTAGCTTGCGTCTTGAGACTCTCACTTTTTTTATTCTTTGAAAGTTATATTGGATACTGCTGATACCACAATCATAAATCAGGTCTTTGCAAAACCTTTTCTTGGAGCGTTGAGTGGTCACAGAGATGCCGTTTCCAGTATGGCAAAGAACCCCCGTCGCCTCAACTGCCTGCTTTCTGGTTCCATGGATGGAGGTTTGTGCTTTACTCGAAACGAGAGGACGTTTTCGTAACATGTTGAGAGCGACTTGAAAGACGTATAGATCATTTAACGTATTTAAGTTTTGATTCGTGGAAAATTGAGATGCTTTTTGTTCTGAGAGCTGAAAATATAGCCAGAGATTTGATCATATGTATGATTTATGTCTGTGGAAAAAGCTTCTTGTGACTGATTGTTCGATGTGATGCAAACAATCAGAGATTCGGCTATGGGAGCTTGCTAAAAGGTACAAAAAAACTGCAGTATCTGCACCCCTCCTGCGAGCCTTTCTAAAAATTCTTCTTACCAGCCTGATTGAAACCATCTCCATAAATTGATGTGTACCTGTCTTGAGCAACAAAGTTACAAGTGAATCTCTTCAAAGTCGGACTTCTCCTCTGCAGGCATGTAATAAGTCAATATCCTGGCCATAAAGGAGCTGTACGGGGACTGGCAGTCGCACCAGATGGGGATCATTTTGTCTCTTGCGGAGACGATTGCACGTAAGATACTAGTTTAAATTTTGGCTCTATTTATCTTGGAGGATTTCCAAGATCTACTTCGTCAGACCTTTGTTTGTTGAAACTATTGGTAGCGGATTTTGTTTATCTATCTTTGTTCATCAAATAATTGTCTTCATCTACATGTTTTAAAACAGTGTACGACTGTGGGAACTCCCTGCTGTGGGCATTGCTACTCGTGAAGACGACGAAGCCCAAGAGGTGCACTTCAGATCTTCCAATCTAACAAATCATGAATGTTAGCGCTTTAAGGATGGTCGACACTTCAGCTTTCTTTGAACTGATTGGAATATTTATTGGTTTGCTTGCCAAGAGGTGAAACCTTGATATGAATTCTTTGAATCTGGTTTGCAGCCCATCGCAACTTTTCAAGGAAAGAATGCTTTCAGGTTAATTCTATCTCACCTGTTTCAGTTCGTCAATATGTGAAGTAATTCATTTTTAAGGCAAGGTTAATAGAACGATGATTTCAAGAAATTATTGTTGAAGTTATGCGCAGTTAGGAGTTCATTTCGTAAATTCGGGTACTATATGAAGCCTTTTTCCCATGTACTTTGTCTTCCTGTCTGCTGTCTACTTTACTTCAGGGCTGTAGATTATCATTGGAGCAACGATGTCTTCGCCACTGCAGGAGCTCAAGTTGATGTCTGGGATCCCAATAGGTGCGTTCTGATTTCTTTCTTCCAGTTTGCCAGCAAGCAAGATCAGCTTGAGAATAAGATATTGACCGTTCTGTACAGCTTTGTTCACAAAGTGGATTGTCGTTTGATGGCTTGGGTTTGGATGATGAAGGTCTCAACCAACAAGTACTTTCTCTTGGGGATCTGATACAGTGATATCAGTGCGTTTTAATCCGTCTGAACCAGATATATTTGCAACAACTGGCAGGTATGTCAAGTACCTCTGAGTTTCTCGCTTCTACTTCTATGAAATAATTGGCAGATGGATGCTTTACTTTTTGGCTTCGCTCTGCAGTCATATTGGGAAGTAAAGCTTTCTTGTTTTGATGCGGATACATGTTCATCTTCTTATGACTTAATGCGTGCAGTGACCGGAGCATAGCATTATACGATCTGCGGACGAGCACACCTCTGAGAAAATTAATCATGCAGGTTAGTTGAATACTTACCGTCTTTATCATTATTTTGTTTTCACAAACCGTGACTGAAGAATTATTATTTGGTGTCTTCCGTTTAGTCCCCACTCACAGACAACGAAACCAAATCAACTTGAAGATCAGATTACTTTTTCACCAACTTTTTTACTTCATTCTTCTGGAGAAGATACACACTCGAAGTATTTTCTTTTCATATAGGTCTTGCGTGCTCATGTGTTATTTGTATATACTTGATGAGGTGAATACCAGTCACACATGTAATAGAATGAAGCCAAAATGTTCTTCATGCGGAAAATAACTTTGATGTGGCTTTTCATTGATCCAGACCAGGGCTAACTCTGTGGCATGGAACCCTCGAGAAGCCTTCAACTTCACTGTGGTTAGTGACGCACATGAAAACTGCATTTGGGCCTTGTCTGCGCTCCTTGTTTCACATCCTTTAGCAATGGGATTCTTAGACTTTGATGGGCTACATGATGTATTGAGAACATAAGCAGAAAACTTCACGTTTGTCAATATATAGGTGTTTATATGTATGTATATATGGGTGTCGATGCCGGTGAGAGTAATCTTTTATATTATGTACCGACATCGTTTGTGTTTGACCATCGTTAAACATATTTACTCAATACCGAGTGCGATTTTGATTTACAGGGAAACGAAGACTGCAGTTGTTATAGTTACGATATGCGTAATTTCAAAATTGCGACCTGCATCCACAAGGGTCATGTGTCAGCTGTGTAAGTCTTTTCGTCGTTTCAGTTCCTAAGCTCGAAACTCCTTATTTATTATCAACTATGTTATGCTCATACACCTGACCGTTCCTGATATATAACTGCAGGATGGACCTCGATTTCTCTCCCACCGGTAAAGAATTTGTCACGGGTTCCTATGATAGAACTGTAAGTACTGAAATGACATGACTACTTTCCAAGCCTGTAGGCTTTTGTGCTATCTAAATATGTAATTGTGGCCATTCGCATAGTCAAACATACTAGTTCTAGAGATCACTAGTCGAATCGTAGGTTGATAGGATGATTAGGCCGTGAGGCAGAAGGTTAGAAATCTGCTCGTTTCAAGTCTCTGACCTGTCTGGTAGCTGTTTGTGGCTCCAACCGTGAAGGGTGTCTGACCTGGTCCGTCACGTGAATATTTGTTCAACAGGTCAGGATTTTTGCGTATAATGGAGGACACAGCAGGGAAATTTATCACACGAAGCGTATGCAAAGGTACTTATCTTCGAGATTGAAAAGTTTATTGTTTTGAGACTGTTTACCAGTCTCTACTATCGTTCCTTGCTCGTTACCGTTAGCACCGCCTAAGAGGGTCGTCTTTGGTTTTGCTCTTCGTGTTGTGAAACGTGAAGACCAAATTCCAAAGACTGGTTTACAGTTTGAATTCGGGGCTGTTTTGGATTCACGTTGTTGTTGTTCTTGTATGATATGATGCCTGAAGAGACCTGTTGTCTTCGCAAACGTATGACTGATACTTGTTATATTTCCGACTTTTGCAGAGTGTTTTGTGTAAAATTCAGCAGTGATGCCACTTACGTGTTATCAGGCAGTGATGATACGAATATTCGACTGTGGAAGGCTAAAGCAGCAGAGCAACTCGGAGTGGTAAGCCGAGCTCTTTAAGCTTATTGAACTGATCTGTAATTTGACCATGGGAATGTAGAAGGTGAAAGCATTTTCTAGGTTTGTCAGTTGTTCCAAACACAAGCATCAAAGTGTCTGTTTATTTACCGAGTGTCCTATTCGCTCGAGCAGCTTCTTCCGAGAGAGAAACAGAAGCATGCATACTCGGAGTCCCTGAAGGAGCGATACAAGCATCTCCCTGAGATCAAACGCATAGATCGGTAAGAATCAGTTTCCGTTAAATAACCCTATCGTTTTTCGTTCAAGGCTTTTACCTTAACAGGCATTTTGATAGTCTTACACTAGCACGCAAGTCAGCGTGATTCTTGTGCCTAGGATGCTGTAAGGCGATGGCTTTTGTACTTCACTAAAAGTTTCTCCGTCCATCTTCGCAGATACCGACACCTACCCAAGCCAGTTTATAAGGCCGGGAAATTGAGACAGGCGGTTCATGATGCTGAGAGGAAGAGAGAAGACAGGAAACGAGCACACAGTGCGCCCGGTTCAATGGCTCATACCTCTGCCAGGAAGAAGCGGATCGTGGCAGAGTTGGAGTAGGGCGTCCACTACTGTATGCCATTTTGTACAGTTTGGGAAGTGGATCAGCAATCATGGGCATAGCATTTTTTAAATTTATCTTGGAAATTACCTTCGGAAGTCGAATTTGACTGACCTGATGGTGTCGTAGCTTGTAGGAAGAGGGTTGAATGTATCGAGGCTTAGTACACAATTTTTTCCATCTTTAGTGCGAAATAAAGAAATTCATAAGTATGGATCGAATCGCACCAGGAGTTGGAATGTTATAGTAATGGAATGGGTTCAACGATGTGTTATCTCTGTTAGTCTTTCTTGTGACACTTATTATCCATCCTGCTACATCGTTATTCAGAATAATGTAACAGGATCAATTACTGCGTAGTCACGGCCCATAAAATGATAGTGTTCTTTCTTCCAAAACTTTGATCTGTTTTACTATTTTGTCGTCAAATAATCCTCGATCCTTCGGTTTGATCCGAAGGAACTCAAATCAATCACCACTATTAGTATATGTAATTCATCAAATTAAAGGTGTCGGGTGACTCGTGGCATCAATTAAACGGAAATGATCAGATTTATCGTCACCAATATCTTCTAGATGAATGAACTTTTGGAAGGAGAAGGTAACTAGAAGTATTGGGGGATAAAGACTCATGATGCAGTTTCCTATAACAATCCTGATCTTTGGAATATTACAGTAGAAGGAAGCAAGGTGAGTACTTGAAAAGACTACTAGAATCTCAGACAGCTGTTGAGTGTAGATTTGATGCACATTTCAGATCTATTCTTTGCCGTGGACGCCTAATCCACAAGAGTTATCTCCTAGGAGTATTAAGATAAGAACTTAATGAAAGCTGTGTCAGAGATCCTTAAACTTGCATGGATTGGCATGGATTACCAAACTCATCCCCTTTAATTTTGAATTAGATTGAGGATTAACTTTGGGAACTCATTGGCAATTCCATTACAGTATCTCTATCTGTACATGTATCTCAAGATCAGATTTTGTGATGATGGATACATGAATAGTATACTAGTGGACGTTTCAAGTTCATTTATATTCAACCCAGAATATAAAATATATATGCATATATAGTACTAAAGTCGATATGAGGATTATTTTGAAATTGCATTATAAGACTCAAAGATGATATGAGCGATCTAAAGATATTTTACTATTCCGTTGATTCATGCTCAAACTTGCAAATATTATTTACATTGGTAGGAAATTAGGATTCTCTTATTAAAAATAGTGCCTATGTTTACCATTACTTATTTTACATTGTTATTGAGATTGTAATTGCATCATCCAATCATGTTGTCAGATCGAACGAAACTCAAAGTGATTTCAATACTTTGTGCAGCGTATTCATAGTTGTGTTAAACACTGGAGACCCCTTATTCATGGAAACAAGAAGCGTTGGTTTGGATAGTCTAAGATATAGTCATTGCTCTACCTTTCAAATTGAACCCAATCCGTGTATAGAATTCGGCACTTATGACCTACCATAGCACCCACTGCATGAGCCGATAGAAAATTAACGTTTGCAGACCTGTTGTAATTTTGTGCTTGAACCTGTCGCTATCTTCTCATTGTAGATTTATCACAACAGATATTGCTATACTTTCCGCCCATCAACGAAGATGTGTTTCTATTCATCGAATATGAAATTGTGTCATGTGTAAGAATGGGAAACAACATTGACTTGGTGCTCTCGGATTTTAGGTAGGATATATATATATATATATATATATATATATCACCTTGGTCGATTACAAATTAGAAGACTGCTTCCTCCATGTTAGGCATACCAAAAGACCGTCATGTGCAAGGGCCATTGCAAACATCGTAATCGTAATTACACTTGTGATTAATCTATGGCATTTGAGTCACATAACCTGCTATATTCTAAATAAAAACTTCTTTGACACGTGAGAGATACAGAAACAGGTGGATGGACAAAGAAAATCGAAACTTTCATTGAGATGAAATAGTGACCGATGAGAATAATTATACTTCTAATGCATAATCGAGTTAATATTTCTAAACTTTAACGAGTTCAGATTTAGATATATGGTGCAAAATGTGAAGAAGATCTCTTAGTAAAAAGTATGTCCCGATCCACTACAAGTGAATATACAAAACCCCTCGAAAATCTGGATTTATCGAGGTGGATCTCCAGTAATAATGGCGAGCAAAGACGAAAATGTCGAGAGGTCATCTTGTACTTTATCAAATGTATGAGTCATAATTCTGATGCAGGGATACTGTATGACTCTGTCCACGCGCATGTGAGAAATGACAAAAGGTCCGAAAAGGGGGATCTAGAGTCGGCTCGTGAAAGACTAGAGGGGCAAATGCACGGACGGAAGGTACGACGACCGGCGGAACAAGGAACCCGGAGCCCGGAACCGGTCAGCGAGTGGCTGCTTCGGAAGAGAACGAAGGCTGTGACCGGGAGGGAAGCCTCGGACGACGCTCCGGGCTGCCAATTCGAAAGTGAGGATTCCGCACGACGCCGGCCTCGTGCATTTGTGCAGAATCGGGCTCGATCGCCGAGCAAGGAAGGGAAGGAGGGCGAGGCTCGGGAAGATCGCAAGATCGGAAGATCGAGCTTTTGCTGCTGCGGGCAGTTGGGCGGACGAATTGGTGAGGAACTGCGGATCGGATTTGGGCTGTGCGCAGCGGAGGAAGGTCGAAAGGGCGCGTTGGGGAGTCGAGTGGAGTTGGTTGGTCGGTGTTTGATGATGGAAGGAGGACGAGGAGCGAGACCCTATCGAACTGCGCGGTTCGATGAGGCTCTGAAGAAACAGCAGCACGAGGAGGAGATGGTCGAACCGGAAGATGCAATCAAGGCTCATTCCGGTGCTTCGACGGACGAGCAGGAGCCTTTCATGGGGATGAAGGTGCGCCGACGTTCTTCCATGTTTCGTCTTTTCAAAGGAGATTACATCGACGCCGAGAATAATGATCAGATCCGCAAACTTCTCACCAAACAAGGTTCATCTTTTGGGGTTTTCTTTGGGCTTTATGTGCAGGTCCTTACATTCCTTCTTCAATTTTTCTCAGGATAGCTGACTGTGCAGTTCCTGGGTCTTTCGCATTCGTGATTATCTGAAGGAAAATCTCCCGCATTTTTGGATACCGGAAGATCACTAAATAATCGACAGTTTCAGCCACAGAACAGAATTCGAAAAACCTGAGCAAGCGTCTGTATTATATACTTGTTTGATTCTCAAGTTCCAGTGTGTTTCTTGAATAACAGAGCTTCACATCAAATCATTAAACTGTTACAAGGACACAGTTAGCCTGAGTGAATCCTGCCAGTGCGACCAGGCATTACAATTCCAAGCCCAAGTTGCGCTTAGCTAAATCTGATATTACTCAATAACACACCCTGTTTCTCTTTGAAACTTGAAAGAAGAAACAGCCCACTCAGCGCCGATACTTGCTTTGTGCTTCTCGCAGCACGGGAAAAACAAAGACTCGTGCCTTGCAAGATGTACCCAATCGTTGAGTATCTCCCAATACACCAATGTATACTTAAATTCTGTAGCGGCATTCTATCAAGTGTAAAAGAAGAACTGCCTTTCAGAGCGAACTCTGTAAGTGAAGACTCACGAACTATCATCGTTCTTCAGTTTTCCTTGTTGTCGTTTCCACCGGAGGCCTAGTTGTACCAGCACTTCGTTCGGTAGAGCTTGCTCCTTACCCACGTTAGAGAGTGGTGCTGGAAGATTTTGCTGCTTAGTGTACATGGATTGTTTCACTCTTAGCGAATGGGTTTGTGCGGTGTCTAGATCAGTGATGTTTGAAGGATGCTACTGAGACAGGATTAGAACTGCTATTCGGGGTTCACTCACTACCTCTTGTAGATGCGAGAGAGCTGACTTGTGCTCTACTTTGTAATAGATGATCTACTTCCATCAAACGTGTTTCTTACTGATCAAAAGTTACCGTTCGTCACCAAAGGTCAACTTTGGTCCAATATCTTACATACTGGCTCGCTGGTCTTTCTTAACGTGGAGTGGCATGACTGTAAATACTCTATGTGTACCTCCAGAGAAGTCGCTCACATGGCAGGACCTGGTTACTTGTACCGTTTGTGGCTTTCATCTTCGTTAGTTACACCAAAACACTGCCTTGCAGTATATCTCTGCTATCAAATGCTGGAGTTATTCCAGAGTGAATTGTGCTGTTTTTGTTTCTACCTTCTTGCCGGTTATCTCAGCTTGCACGGGTTTGTTTTCACTGTTTAGTACGTCGATATTTCTTTTGTGATTTGAAGAGAAGATGGTTCTCCTTTCAACATTAACTTTGTACTGCTTTGAGGAATAGAGTACACAAATCATTGATTTATGAAACGAAAAGCTTCGTAGGCTAACTTTTCACTGTAACATAATCCATAGCCCTGTAATTGCTTCCTGTTTAAAGGTTGTTGCTACTGCTCCTTCTCCTCTGGACCTTCTCACATTTGAAAGAAATTTTACATACAGGCGGTTACCTTTTCTAATCTATATCAGGTCTTGTGTAAGCTCCTGATGAATGATTTCTTGTTAATCGGTAACTCGACCATATGTTGGATAAGTTTACAGCTCAGCCTATTAATGACTTGGTCTGATGCATTTCAACGTTGGTACCTAGATATCAGTACTCAGACGTCTGACAATGTCTTCATCTCATGGTTAACTTCACTTGGATGTTGCAGGAGATCGACAGGTACTTTATGCAGAGAATGTAGTGAAGGTTACCAGGAAAGGAAAGGTCGCAAGACGAATTCTTCTTATCACCGACATGGCCCTTTACATTCTAGATACACAGTTCTACACCATGAAAAGACGTGTTCCATTGGCGTCAATAGGCAAACTTTGTCTGAGCGAATGTAGCGACAACTTCTTCGCTGTTGTCGTGCCGTCGGAATATGACACGTTATTTGCCAGTGCTCGGAAGACAGAAATTGTGACTGTCCTTGTTGATGCGTTCAAGAAGCTTTCATCCCAAGGAGAAACTTTGACAGTCGAGTTTTCTAACAAGTATGCCCTGTTTTGCTCTCTAGTACTCGAATCTCTCTTAGAGCTGCCAGGATGCACCCTTGCCTTTGATTTTACTACGTACTGAGTTCGATTGTTGCCACTCCCGTCGTCTTTATCTTCCTTGACCTCTAAAGTTGTTGCAGATTTGAATATTATCTGGACTCTGAGCATGTTCGCGAGGTCGTCACGGAAACGGTGGAGGGTAAGAGTCTACACAACCGGCTCTCAAGTTTTGCTCACTGATCATTGCTATGGGCATGACTCAGATCAGGCAGAACAGGGAGCACTGAATGTTGTGACTGGCCGGTATTGCAGGTGGAGTGAAGACCAGTTTTGTTGACAAGTGAGATCCAATGACGTAAGCTCCATCAACAAGGAAAGCATGTTCCTGCTTTTCAGCCTTGTGAATTCTCCATTTAAAATGTAAATTGCGGCGCGAAGTATCATTCTGTCAAGGTTAATTTCTTACTTTTGGTTCATCAGAACTCAAGTCATTTACGATGCTTGGAACATCATGGTGTCTCTTCGTTAATTTGGTTAGTACTATGAACAGGCGTCCCAGCAGTTGGTAGAGAATTTACCACACTCGTTAAAGATGAAGCTTTTGGTGACAATTTGAAGTGAGGCACAAAGCTTGAGTTACCACAGTCCAGATTAAGACAACTCTCCGAGGGATCTGAAGAAGAGTGCAGTGAAGACTTTCCGCAAGTAGGTCAGCACTTCCCATTTACTTGTCACATTTCTAAATATGAAAGGGCGAATCTAAGATTCAGTCTCGAGTTTCAGCTGACGTTAACCCGGCATTTCATTTTACTGAAATGTAAAATTCAATATACAATCAACAATCTCCTCGTTGTTGACACATTCCATCAATAATAAATTTTCTCTGTTGATAACTCAATTGACTCTGCCAAGTCCTATAAGAAAAAGAAAGTTGAATCGGAAGGTGATATCTAGACACCTTTGAATTCAGCCTTTTGTGAAGGGAAATTTTTAGCCGTAAGGGAGAACATTTCACGCTAAGTGTACATCTCAAAAGAATGGAAAAATTATCTGCACACTTTATTTCTGCCGTTTTATTTACACCCAACTCGATATTATATCATCAATAATCTTCTCATCAATAATCGATGAGAAGAAGATACTATGCGGTATTTCAACCCTTCGCAGCCTTGGGCTTTCTCGCGGCTTTGGCTTTTGCAGGCTTCTTTGCAGCTGTCTTTGTCTTCGCCCTCGGTTTTTTCGCGGCTCCCTGCAATATAAAAGTCAAAAAGTACCAGCTTTTACCATAAAGCATTACGAAAAAAGGGCTCGTGCTTTGTACTTCGGGAGTGAATTCAAGTTGTTTATCTGTAAAGTCTTTTCCAGACATGCGTGACAACTGCTCATCAACAATGACCATAGAAGTGTTGGAGAATTGCCGGTGCACAATCTAAAAAAATCTAAATTTGCTCCAACTTGCCGACACGTATGCACCCCGAAGGCTGAAGCGCATCTCTCCAAACCAGAAGCAAGCAGTTAGCATGAATTACCTTGCCGGTAGTCTTGGGCTTCCCTTTCCCACCTTTCACGACCGCCGGCTTCTTAAGCTGCAAATTTTCACACCTGATCAGTCAGTAATCGTGCATACAGGCGTACATACAGGCGGTCACAAATATGTTTCATGACGAAGGCTAAAAAATCAACGACTATCATTCTATACGGATTTCATATCGAACAATGGCCGACAAACTTAGTACCTTTTTCTTGGGTTTCTCATCAGAATCATCGTTATCATCCTCAGCAGGTGCGGGTGTACTATTGGGGACGGCACCACCGTCTCCTTCGTTGTCCAAGTCGAATGCAAAACCTTCTAGTGTTCCTGCTTACGTCAAGGGACTCAATCGATGTTAGTACATGATTATCTCATGTATAATGTCCTCATAAAACTAGCTTCTAGAAGACCGAACTAATATATACTTGAAACCAATCACCACATCATCAATTTTGTTGTTTGTTTCAGAGAAAACAAATCAGCTGATGATGCAGTCCTGTGGATCTATCACTAATATTTTACCTTCGACAACTGTCTCATCTCCGGCTTGGTTCACGTCAGGCTGGAGCTGCATAAAGTCATTCATGATTGCTTCTACCTGGTGAACATGTGATTGTAAGTAACACATTGAGATTAGCCTGTCAAACTGCCAGCAATCCATTACCAAAATATGCATCTCGTGTTCACTCCAATGATGATATGTACTTCGAAGTCACTCTGTTCTCTTTCGCCTCTCGCTCAATCTTCTGCAATTCAGCTAAAGACAACGACCAACGAGTCCGAAGTATTTGGTGCAAAAGACTCACTTCTTCAACTCGTTGTGCCCTGGGTAAAGACTACCAACTAAAACGAAATTGATCTCGTCAGACAAGCCTACACATGATCCAACTTGGTACACCAAAGGAACTTCCTCCCACCTTTGCCTCTGTTTGTCCGACATTCACCTGCATAAACAAACAAAGTCTCACTTTCAGGTTGGCTTACAATCTGGAGATATGTGGATATAGAGGGCTCTGCAGACAGCATACAGTACGTTGTGAAGGGATACACACGCTGCAAGTCACGTGAATAGAGTTGCAATTCAGGTGACAGTAAGCTTGGTTGGGTTTTTCCAGACGAATCGTTTAACCTTAAAAATCACTACATGTTCCAGAAGCTTACAGGTGGTATACTAGACAGGGAAGTACATTACAGGCAAATAGATTACAAGAGTTTGGAATCAGCAACACAGAACGTCATGAGGAGGGACAGTCACAACCAGTACGTACCACAAAGAATGTGTTAGATGGAACTATCGTGGTCTTGTAAACAACACCTGGATATACAAACATTACAAGGTAATCAGCATAATCAACTCAGTGCAGTTCGCAAAATCTTTATGGACAATGTTAACCTGGTTTCATGACGTCAAGAAAATCAAATCTGGGTCTAGGACAAAAAACAGATTATATCTCAGGCTAGAGGCAAATGAGCTGCGCTCGATGACAGGAATTCATGTCGAAGGAGCAATACCTTTCAGATCCAGACACATCTGATCCTCGTCATTATCTCTCCCGGAAGATACAACAAAACGTCCCACAGCACCCATATCGCCACTCAGATCCAAGGCATCGCCCTCACACTCGAGTAGCACCTGTTCACGAAATATACAGCTTTCAATCTACAAATTTGAATTCGCAAGAAGACAAAAAAATTAACAAGTCTAGAAATTGAAGAGAATTATATCCAAAAAATCTAGAACTATAAAGGGAAAAACTAGTATTCATGTGATGGACCTTTAACCAACAATCAGCATTGTGAATGTTACGCCTCAGAACAGGTGATTATCAAGGCACGATCTGAACCGTTAGAATTTTGAATAGAATGTGTATTAACCCAACACCAAAATGGCCATAAATGTCCAGAATCAACAGCTTAAGGTTAATTACTACATCTGGTTCCTTCTCTAAATGTTGCAATTTCCTTTCAGTTCTTGATAGGTACTATTTCGATGCAAAGTTTGACAAACCAACACATACAGTCTAATTCAGATATATAAGCATGAGGCCATACCTTCGTTCTGTGAATCTTGTCGGCGAACATCACTGGGAGGGTTGACAATGACTGCCGGGCAGGCACGCACGAGAGATACATGTACTCATCAGAACATAGTGTATAGAACATTGATCATACCTTTCATTTTGCTAACCTTCACTTCCATAAAAAATTGCACAATGATGACTGAAAATATGAAACAGCAAATATCTAGACCACATCTTTATAGAACACTATAGTTAATACATTCCTCATTATGCAAACAAGATTCAGGCCCTATGTCCGAGCACCGGAGAATAAAGAATGATAGATCTTACTCTTTTTGTTTTCCGTTCGGGTGGCTCTCCTGTTTCATCCTCTGCAATAAGATCTTCTTTTTGAGATTGACCAAGTTCCTCTATAACATCATCCTTCACAAGCGCTACCAAAGCATCTGCACGTAGTCTTTTCAACTTGGATAGCGCAATAGTCGCTGACTCTGAGCTGGAGGGGTCAAGTGCTGGTGGTGTGACTGCCATTGAGAAAGAGGAAAGAGACGAAATCGGTGCTGATTCATCCTCGTCATCATCTTCATCTGGAGCATCATCCACTGGATCTAGATCGATTGATCTCCTCACTCTCTTCAAAGCTCCAATCTCTTCATCTTCAGACATAGAAATTCTCTTGTTTTTTCCAGAGGACTTTGGTGTTTTGGGACCATCTCTTTTCGCCTTAGGAGTAGGGGTTGTTTTCTTGCTTTTTGTAAGTGGCTTAAATTCTTCATCATCATCATCATCACTGTCCAACTGCCTCTTACGGCCTCTTGGACGCCTTGAGGAGATAACCTTCTTCTCTCCTTCGTGATCATCATCTTCGGGATTCACTTCTCCTTCAACTGCTGCAGAGACGACTTTGCCTTGTTTCTTTTGACCCTTCCCTGGAGGTCTTCCCCTCTTTTTTGGAGGGCTTCCTTGTGAACCAACGCCCTTTAGCGCCTTGCCGGCACCAAGAAGAGACGCAATGGAACTATTTTCCTCGATGTCATCTTCTAACTCCTTTACTTCCGCTAGATCCTTGCTGTCAGGAATTTGTCTGGGTACATCTCTCGACGAAGTTGAAGGAGATGAGGATAATATCATAAATGCATCCTCTGTGGGACTCTGAAAGCATCGGCCACCGTTGGATATGTTGAATTTTAGAACGTGTGTTATAACATGAAGAAGCAACAGACGCATGGCTTACTGAAAATTAAAAGCCATTATTTGGTCATTTGAAATTTAGCTGACCAGCTAGAAGGACAATAAATCTTAACTGGATTAATCCTGCGTGATGTAAACTCTATACAACGCCCAACTATATCCTGCATTCTGCCTACACTCATCACTGAAATTCTTCTTGCAATGCCGCGGACTGCTTCACGATATTACAATTTTGGACATTCCACATAAATTAGGTTGACACCCTGCCCTTATTTGAACAGAAACGAGCAGGACATTCTGCAAAACGCTATCAACAAGCAAGGCAGGCTAAAATTTCTCACAGCATCCACAAATTGCTGGAAATCAAATTCTCACCTCGACATACTACAACAGGACGAGTGCAAGCAGATCATACAAAAGAAACAAGAAACGATCAAACCCGATAGAGAAAATACAATGAAATGCCACAACAGCACCTTAAAGTCACGAAGCCAATCAGGAGACGCTTCTCGCTCCATAATTCCCCCGCGCTTCCTTCAGCAGCGCAAACCTTTTCAAAGCGGTCGTCCCCCGCAGCGAGGACGAATGCGCGGTTTGACACGCGGTCAATCTCCACAACCAAACGAGCTCCGGGCCGGCACTGCATTTCACATTTCTTGCTTTTGCTCCAGATTCCTGAGCGCGCAGCTCGCGCCGTCTGTCACTCGACGAGCCCAGGCCTGGCTCTGCATCCGCGTCGCAAGCTGGGCGCCCACTCTTTCAAAACTAGACTCTGCCCAGATCCGTCCTCCTCCTCTGCCCTTTCTCGACTGCATCTATGCTCTCCCCTACTGGCCAAACTCGCCTCAAGAACCCACAGCGGTTCCGCCGCGCACGTGATAACCCTCATCCCCTGTCCCTGTACGTTACTTATGATTATTATTATCCTCAGGGGCCTCGTATTGTCCCTTGTCTACAACATGTTGTGAGGACGACCTCTTAGCGCCAGTTTCCAGCTCTCTGGGAGCCCGGTCGTCCACTTGAATCATGAAGTCTCATTGTAAGTTAGCACATGCCACTTGACCTGTTATACCTATTCTATTGATAGAGTTCCTGGAATGAAAGAAACGTTTCATTCTGCCGGCTAGAATAGTCTACTAGGTTCGGAACTAGAGTACAGTCTTCGTTGTCTCAAGGTGGACTGTATTTATTTGTCAAGTAAAAGTATCTAGTGAAGACATTATACGCCCTTGGAGGAGAGAGGAGTAAGAGGCCAGCTTGAAGAGCTTATCTCCGTCCGATTTCATCCATCCATTCAAGTGAACGTCAATCGTGCGGATGACTGCATCGCTTTATGAGCACAACGGAAATAACATAGTGGATTGGATTTTATGACCCCCAACTTAGCGTTTTGATTCTTTTGGTGCAATGTGCTTATGTTTCCAATCCTTTAAACATCCATTTTCCAAAACTTATCTTCCCTGTGTATCATTATCAGCCAAAATGTTGCATTCGCATTATGAGTGTGACTATGCATACATGATTTTCAGTGGATTTTACAAGCTCGTGATGACTTTCGGCCAACGAATTTTGTTGCTCGGAGGTTTGAAGGGTTTCTGTATGTATGATTGTTTTAGGTGTGAATTAGATTTGTCGCCTATGAAATTGTGAATATTTTAGATTCAACAAAACATTTATTTTGGTGATAATGTGATATACACACGTGACGGTACACTGATCATTGTCGAAGATTGCCGGGAGTGACTACACTTTCTCGATATTGGATCGCGTTTTTTGTGTATGTTTGGTCAACGGTTTGCAGAGTTATTCTTCATGTTCATTGACGTAAGCGTTAGATTAAATCCAGATCCTTTTCGCCTTTCGTACGGCATATTTTTCGCTTTCTATCTTCTTATACTTCCATACAAGTGGAGAAAACTTATCATTGAGTAATTGGGCCACGAAAAAATCGACTCATGAAATTGTCTACGTTTTGAAATAATAAACTTAGTTATTACATGAAACGTTAAGTTTCGTTTTGTTCGATGGGAGAAAGTAAACACATGGTCATGGTCGCAGTCACTTCCTAGTCGGCATTATACATTTTTAGGTCCCGGTTTGCGAGACTTATTTTATATCACTGCAAGCTCTACAGAGGTTGCGCTTTACTGTTGCAGGCAGCAGCAAATGTCGAACTGATGACGACACACTGACTAAGCCAAAAAAAAGGTTCGTGAAGCAATAGTGGGATGGCAAAACTGGTGAGTACTCAATCAAGAGAATTTATTTCTTGCGTAGCAGAGCACACTCACCTTCAATTATACAAGTTTGAGGTTTGACATGTAGTCCCAGAAATGGACCGTGGACCAAGGGACAATTGACCCTTACTTGACCCTGTCAGAAAGACTATACAAATCCCCTCGGAACACCTGAAACTGAAGGGGAATTCTGACGATAGAATGGGTCCTATGGCGAAATAATTACGTGCTTTGGTCGTAATTATTAACTCGACGATCCTAACTAGTCTTTAACACCAACTGATTCTTCTGTGGCCAAATAAATCGTACTATGCTACAAATCCCTTCAGGGACAGGCGCCTGTTTCAACTTATATGCCCTCTAATAAACGCAACTCGGAATTTCTACAAGATACTGCGGCCTCTTGAGACACCTATTCCATCTCAACGAAAAATAATGCGCTTACCGCCGGAAAAAAAGGGCTACACGTGGATTTAGGGGTTTCGGAGAGCCTACTTTCAAGGAGCAAGCACAAGCACTTTAATTGTCCCTTGACTATTAGCAGCCAGCATTGTAGGACTGTCGCTCTTCCAGCATACCGCACTGATGAAATGAGATGAATCATCGTCACTATCCTCTGGATCCGGTGATCCAAACCGATGGAAGGCCGCAGGTTTCGACATGGCCTGCATAAGTACAAGAATTCCAAATTATTAGTTAGTGTGCTCTCAGCAATCACGTTGATACAGCTGAAGATATGTAGCATAACGACGAGCCACACTTCCCCAACTAGCGAGCTGATAGGCATTCACAAATAAGAAACAGCAAGTTCAGCCAAGAGAGCTGTTTACCTTGTGGTACACGAAGACCTCATTCGATTCGCTGCCACAAGCGATGTACTCGCTGTTGACTGCCAAGCCAACAAAATTCTTCTCATTTGTATGCCCTTTAAGAGTCCTTATCTGCAAGTAAGGCGGTGTGAGGTCAATAAAAATCTTCAAATTTCGGACATTTCAAGAAGTTGATCACAGAATTAGAACACAGCTCAGACTTTCGAATAAGTAAGCCACCTCTCGGCAAGGAAATGCTGAACATAGCCCTTACTACATCAAACCCCATACTACGCTGTAATAAGAGCGCATGTACTGCCTACATGAAAATATCATCGGCCAAAGAGAAGGCATATCGCGGGGACAAGACGTAGAATGTTCGTGAAAGTTGCATACCGCAGAGTTCTCTTGCACGTCCCAAAGTCTCAAGGTGCTGTCAGTCGATGCCGAGGCCAGCTCGTTCGGTGAAATAAATTTCACATAAGATACCGCTTTGCGGTGTCCATTGAAGACGTATAATGGAGACAGGGCATTCCGTAGATCATAATAATGGATGTGATGATCTGCAGAGCCAACCTGGAAGACATTCCCAAAGGAGTTGAGGATCTAGTAGGGATCGCAAAACACTTAAATTTGCACATGCAATTATGCATCAATAGCACAGTCGAAACAAAACGAGAGTTTTCCTGAGATCCATGCCTCAAATCCTAGGGGGAGCCACTTACAGCGATGTAATTGCTGGAACCCGGGTTGTATTTCACACAACAAATGTTCGCCTTCATGTCAATATTTAAGACACTTGTTTCTTGCCGCGTACACCAGACTTTGACCTTCCCATCGTCGCTTCCAGACACCAACCGAGTTGGTTCTTTCTTAGAGAAATCCACACTCCATGCGCGTTTCTCATGCTCTTCATACTCCATGATACTCTGGAGAGATAACCATCACCATTTTCAGCTACGAGTTGTAAACTGCAGATATACTAGCTCAATAAACCACTCATTCAACACTCACTGCAGAATAAAGACAAATAGAATGGTGGATGATGAAGCGCTTGCAGTACCTGAGAAGTATTAACATCCCAAACTGTGACAATCCCCTCGTAGTCACTGCTCGCGATGTAAGATTTGATGTACTTATTCCAGCTTAGGCAACTCAATTTCGAGCGTGTTGTCAACTCTACGATTGGGCAGTGTACATCTGCGAGCTCATTTACAACCTGCATGTGTAGATATACTGATACTTAGCTGAAGTGGAGAAAAGTTACAACAAGAGCCGAAGGAAATAGGAAAGAGAATCTGAATCCACATAACCGACATAAGCGCAGACTATGGCAACAGATGCAAATCAACGCACTGAAGCTGACGACAGACGAGGTGCAGAGTGTATAAGGAGTGTAAAGAAAGAAAAGCCATAGAGTGTTACCGAGGCGAACTCGAAAATTTTGATTCTTCTGGACACTCCCGCCGTCGCAAAGAATTCATCATCGCGATCAAACTCAATGCTGCTGGATGAGCAGGATTATTAGTGCACTGCTTCTGATTAAAAAGTGAAGTCAAAAACAAAGAAAGCCAGTTCGAGAGGAAGATTGAAAGTGAAATTACCTTGACACAATGTTGGAAGAGTGAAATAAATCACCATGACGCAACTCGGCGATTACTCGTAATTTGCTGTAAACCACAGACAAATATTGTCAGTCAGAAGATCAGGTGCAGATAGAAATCAGACGCGGAAACTAACTGAGTTTGTAAGGTTCATTCTTAATCTAATCAATGTAAAACGCCGGAGGATATGGGATTGGGACCTGTAACGGGTAAACGCGGTCAGAACGGACTGGAAGTCTTCAAGGCCAGATCGATCCATGCAAAGATCATCCACTTTCAAGCTGCTGTCTTTCAACATCTTCTGCCGCTGGAATGCTACTTTGCGCCTTCGTTTTTGCAAGTAGCATTCTTGTAGGTCCTCAAACTGCAACACATCGAGAGGCACCGTTAGGAGGAGGACAACTCCACCAAAACTACGAAGTACGACCAAAAACATCAACTAAGTAATGAGTAATACTTCAGAACATTTGCATGCGGTTTCATTTTAGCTGTGTTGGAAGTAACGAAGAAGATATGAATTGAGCTTCACCTGTTGGGCCACTCTTCGTTTCTTTGCCATCATAACACCGGTGTGGGCAGCGGTGACACCCAAGGAGTCAGATGTATTGCCATTCCCGGAATCTACTGACGCTTCCTTCTTCAATGAGGACATCGACACTACTCTTTGCTTGGAGTCACCTCTTCGAGTATGTCCGCTGCTGGGTACAGTAGCACCCCCCTGGCCACTACGCAAGAGAGAAATAGCACCCCCTGTGCTGGAGTTGTCAGATGCTAAGCGATCGAGTTGTGGAGAGGAACTATCAATGAGCATGCGAATCTTCATCGAATAACGCTCCTTAGACTTCGAAAGCTCTAGTCGCTGCCTCTCCACGTATGCGATGTCTTCTTTCAGGAATGCCAGATCCCCTTGTAACTGGTGCACAAACAAGAATTTTAGAAGCCAGTCAGAAGATTCCTCTCCAATAGTAAGTCACCTCAATAGAGTTACGGAAGACGTTCATTGAACCCAGCCTGATCAAGGTCTAAGAAAAATAGTAAAGTTCCTCTTCACACTTACAAATAATGTTTTCTTGCGCTAATAGCAACTGCATGACGTTCTTCTCAAACATTAGAGGCAAGAAACTTCTTCGTGTAGATGGTATGTACCTCGTTCAACTCGTCCTGTTTGATCTGTCGAGACCGGTGGAGAAACTCGAGTAGAACCTCCATGTTAGCTTCGGCTTCCTCTTGTTCCGCTTTGTGTTTTTTGTCAGCTAGCAAGATTAGAAGAGAATCCAACTCCTTCACTGACACCTCTCCCTGAAGAACAAGAGGATGCGTCTGTGTTACACAAGAAGTGGACGAACGCTCGACCGGAAAGCTGCAAGTAATTTCATGTGTAGAAAGCACTGTCTGCGTACCCCGACAATTTGGACGGCAGCTTCTAGCTCAACTCAATCTTGTCGTCAACAATTTTTTCAGTAACGTTGAAGTAAGGAATTGCACATACCTGCTTCAATGCCATCCGAATGTGCTCCGTTGGTGAGGCATTCGTAACAAACTGGGAGGCTGAAGCTTTCTTAAGGAGCTGTAGACAGACAAAGGTGAGCGTTAACAGACTGTAGAGATAGGAGGGCTCAGTATGTCGAAGTGGTCATGGACTGACATTGACCATAGACCATTATCGATGCTCTAACTGCTCCTCGGTCATGTGGCGAGAATACACAAATGCACCACAATCACAACGGATGACAAACAAGAATGACCACGCTGTGTCATGTCATAAAGAAGGAGTTTGTGTGGTCACGCAGAGTTTGTCAAGGTGGGTGCATAGTCCATCCCGCCCTATATCTGAAGTCTATAAACTGCTCTGGATGATAGCCGCGAAGGACATTATCCGAGAGTAACGAAGATAACGAACTGATCAGTGAACATGCTGGCCATGGCCTCCCTGCGGTCGACACTTATGAGTGTGAGGACCCTTTCCTCCAAATTGTCATCAGAACCCAATATTGGGCCACCAGTTCACACTACCTGCAGCAGATATGAGCCCTCTGGCTGTTGATGCAAGCAGACTATGGCCACCAACAGCGATCTGCTTGTATTGAAGCTCTTACAAACAGTCGAAAACACTGTTGGCTTTCTTGTGACTACGAAACCTCCTGTGTAAGATAGCCGAACCCCTCCCTAAAATTTTCTAAGGGGAGAAATGAGACATTCATTTGAGGTCGAAGAGGTGTTCCTGGTTTTCACAAAAAATGGCGCAACCGAATGACGAGAGTATCAAATAGGGAGGAAGAGAGGCAGAAAACATTCCGCAGGCACTGCACGTATTGATCGGAAAACTTCTCTCAGAAAGAGAGTTTCGCTGCAGGACGTGCAGTAGGTAGAACTAAGTAAACTAGACACGGGACCGAAGACATGCGTCATCCACCTGGCTGCTTAGAACAATTTAGGTCTACACGTAATTCAACTGCAGGGACAGAAGACGAAGTAATCATCGACTTGATAGAAATCTCAGACATATATCTTCGATCTAGTAGTAAGCAGGTGGAACCCTTACTTCATTTAACATGACTTCCTTCTTACGACAAAAACTGACTATGCATCCGGGGCGTTGGAGAACCTGTGGCTGTGTACACCCCCAAGACAGATCTAACCCGGGTAGGGAGGGGAAAGCTGACGGTCGGAACGGAAATGTGCAAGGGTAATCAGCCTTATGCCCTAACACTCCTTCATGCTCTACCTGAAATCACTCTCAGGGTCATCTACTGCATGTTTGCTGCGCGACCCCCGACGAGGGAGATTTCATGATCACGTTTGGACACTTAGACTCATCACGTAGATTGGTTGAAGGGATAAAGACACGTACAGGGAGGGCGATTGTGTAACATAAACTTTGAATTTTAATGGCATGTCAACGTTTGTACAGACGCGAGACGGATCAGATTTGTGTGGAGAAGGAGGACGCACATTACTTTCCACTCGAAAAGTAGAAGGGTTGCAGGACACACCTTATTGAGAAGGAAATTGGGAAACAGTTGGGTGTTCGTCAAGTAGAGTCCGCAACAAGGGCAATTGCTCTTGTTGTTCAAATGAGTCATAATGCACCTGTAGCAGAAACTATGCCCGCAGGCCGTCAAAAACGCGTCTTTCATGGTGTGAATGCAAATCGGGCAGAGGAAGTCCTTGTCAACTTCTGTTCTCGTCGACCCTCCATACGAGACCCTGCCATCCTTGCACTCCCCGGAGCCCCAAGAATCTCCGCGAGGCTCCATCTTCGCCCCCATGATGGAGGGGACATTGGGCCCGACAGAGCCCTCAGTACCCTCCATCCTCCTCTTCCTCACTCGCTCAATCGCACGGCGCAGCCCCACGCTCAAAAAGCCCTATCCGCCTGTCTCGACAAACTGAAACCTCGCGCAACCGACAGGGCACGAGCACTGACTTTCGATGGCTCGACCTCAATGTTCTCGCGCTCCTCAATCGCCGCCCCTGCTACTACCCACCCATCCTGTCCGCCCCTACGCATGTCACAGCGCTTCCTCGATAATGCACGACGCAATTGCTCTCTTCTTGCCGGGCAGTCTCCATCATCCGCTGCGCTGCTCTGCTCTGCTCCGCGCTATGGTCCGGCGCTGCTGGTCCTCGCTTCCTTTCCCCTTCCGCTCGACCCCGCGGTCGCTCTCATTCCTCGTCCCTCAAGCCGTCGGGCCAGCGAGTCCGAATGCGCGCTGTCTGTCTGTCTACCCCTTGTCGCGCTGCGCTGGAGAGCTTGAACACTGATCCCCGCCCGGCTTCAATCCTGAATCAAGGTCACCGTGGTGGCTATCGGCAGCTCGAGCCGCTCCTTGTGAGGCTCCCGTCCACTAAAATTCTCCGTTACTGGCGTCGGCGAAGGGCCCGCCAGCCTTTGAAGTTCCCGGCAGAGGAGAGAGCCGGTGGCCTCGGGCGAGACCGCAGCAGGGCGTCAGCTCCTGCCGCCCAGTCCTACTTGGCGACTCCTCCCCTACATGTGAAACGCACATGCGAGGGCTCCAGGGCCGAATGAGCATCGGCCACGTGGAGACAAGCCTCGTTTTACTGTGTCTTCAAACGGCCGCCTCGTTTTATTTCGGATTAAGCCAGCGCCGGTTTTTACCGGACGCTCGGTGGAGGGCCGGGGCCGAGCAAGTGAACTTGGCTTGGGCCACGTCACCGCGTCCCGAATAAACGTGGCTGGAGATCCTCCAGACCTTTGAGGAAGTTACCAGGGCTGGGAAATCTAGAGCGCGGACGACCAATGGAAGAGCCGCAAAAGATGCGTCGGTGAAAATGGGGGACAATGTGCCCGACAAGTCAGTAAATGGTGCAATGGCCGTGCTCTCGCGATGGTCACGATGACTGGCGCCTCACCTCAGGTTCCCTTCCGACCCCGGCGAGTTTTTTCATACGCACCTGCGTGTTCCTCTGGCGTTCACAGAAACCCGTTCCAGTCCCAGCCTTTTCTCGTTGGAAGGTGGGGTAGGTTTGGTTGCGGCTTCGGCGGAGGCTCGGGGCTCAAAGTCTGGATTGAGCAGCTAGGCACGGATGGGGTTGTAGGAGCGGCCACGTTGCTCGTTCCTCATCTGCAAGAGCTCGGCAGTGCATACTGTATTTTGCCTCTGCGCGTACCATATACACGACCAAGCTCCTCCAACTATCAACGTTTCAACTCTGTGACTTAAAGTACGCTCCGACCGTAGGTGATTGCCGAGTTTGCTTGTAACTTTCCTCAAGAAATTGACCAGTAAAATAGCGAAAAGGATGGGAAGACAACATCAAGTGTACAGGGATGCCCCAAACGTGGTGTGACTTTACCTGTGGGTTATGAACGTGGGCCCGAAAGATGCGACAAGGAATTATCTTGGTCGTTTAGTATCGCAAAGTCCAATTTTGACATGGCTCCTCTTCACCGAATCTACGGGCTGCGGCGAAGATTCTTCATCATAATAATGATATTTTCAAACCTTTCCTCCCTAAAAAAAATCTCACCGTAAACTCGCGCTTTCATGCATTCCATTGCATTGCACGTACTCACCATTTCCTTCTTATGCGTCACCTGGAATCAAAGGAGACGGAGGTCAACCGAGCAACTCAAAACGTTTCAGTGGAGGCTCATACTTGACCGTTGGTCAAAAAAACTGATGGAATTCATCTCCTCTCATGTCTTTCCCGCACTAACACTCGGATGTCTCATTATCTTGAATCGATGGTTCTAAATCGGTTCTCAAAACTACACTTCAAAATGAATATTTGTTACTTTCCCTTTCTAATATGATTGGGGCTAGCCCTGCATTCCACATTGTTTGAAGGGATATAGACATTCTTATTGATATATCACTTGATTCATTCATTCAAAACTTTGGATTCAAATAATCAAAACTCTTCCATACATATGCACGCTTTATGGTGTTATGACTTGAGGACATCCAAATTAAGTCATTATGGAATACTAAGAAGTATAGTTTTCATCATTCAACTTTACATAGTTCTAAGTGTTGATCAGTTTGTATTGATTTCACACTCTATCGAACGAAGTCAGTGACTGTGGATCGTTTGGTAGCGCCGATCACAAGACAAAGCAATATCGTGATTCCATTATTAGAAGATGTAGAGCTGATATATAGTCATCTAAGTTGTAATTTCGTAAATATATATATTTGCAATTTAATCCAACAATCACGTATCCTATACAATATAGCTTACTGAAATTTTAACCATATGCTTTGTAATAGCTATACACATTTGTCATAAATGAAAGGAAAATTTTGAGACTAGCTTCATTTAATCTCTCATATCGCTAGTATGTATTATTCATGTTTATAAATGAAAGCAGTTTTTTATTTTCTGATGACCATTCGTTCCGTTATATCTTTATATATATTTCAGTTCCAGAAGAAAGGTTTTCAAAACTATTGGATTTCAAAGATATCATTTTTTTGGCAACATCATAAAAAATCTTCTTTATTTATTTATATACTCTCTTGAGGGGTACAATTTTTTCATCATAAAAAAATGAGTGAAGGTATATAAATGTAGATCAAGATTTAAAGTTTGATACATTTTACGCATTGAATATTCATAGATATGAGTGTGACATTGAAAGTCCTCATTAAAAATTTAAAACTTACAATCGTCGTAATTTGTTTGTTATACAAGTACAACAACTATTTTGAACCATAAAAGCGGCCTAGTTTTGGAAATCTCGAGCGTTTTACATCTTGTCTTTTGTGCTGAGTTGTATCGTGATCAGCAATACTAAAAGAATATCATGATGAATAAAAAAATATATTACAAATGTGTATTATGTTACTTAATTTCCATTTTCAAGTCAAATTTTAATCAAATCATGACATCTAAACATGTGTCAAAAAAAGTAGATGCATAAAGATTGATGCTTTCCAAGACTATTATAGTAATCTTATATACCATAAACAACTTTTGAAGCTTAAGCCTTGGCTTTTTAAACCAAATTGATTTAATTTAAAAATGAAAAAAAAATTCATAATATATCAAGAATATAATGAAGTCTAAGAGTAGAAAGTTACTAAGTAGTTATTTTCTATTATGATGAGTAATAAAGCTAGAAATTCACCAGGAGTACAATACTTAGTTCTGTTCCAGAAACTAAGAGGATATCAAAAAAATAATTCAAAAAGTAACTGAGTGCTCTTTATTTCCCTATATTCTGGTGTTCTGGTTATAATCTATCATCTCAGATATTTTTCCTTGGGAAAAATTTAGCAGACTTTCGCCTGGTAGGTCGTGAACCACAACGTAAAGGCCTTGCAGATTCATCAGAGGAGATGTGCAGATTAATATAACGTCTCCCACAGCCTGGATTACATACGGGAAGATGAATTCAACTTCGGCATCCACTCACTGGAGATGGAATACTCGAACATTGAATCAACTATGCCCAGCTCTTCCTTGTCATTACGAAAACTCGGTAATTTTGTTTTTAGTTTATTTATGTAGTGCACTTTAGGTGAGAACATCGCTTTAAATTGAACTTTTGTATGCCGAATTCTATCAACGAATCTCTGACTATATCCAGGGAGAAAATAAATGAACGGAGTTTGTGATTTTTAGTATGCTCAAATCACTACGTAGTCAAACAAGTAAGATGTTTAGTGTCAATAAATTGGTCGCCTAGCAACGAGGAGTGGGAACCATTTATGAGATGAAGGCAAACCATAAAGAGAAGCAAATCAAAAGCATGGAAACGCGAGGCACAAAGATCGCTGAATTGGTGGAGACTTGAGGCTCAGAAGCGATCCATCACGTGGGATGTTATCCCTTCCCTCAGCATCTTAATAATAAAGTAAAAAATACATAGCAAAAAGCTGGAAGAGCCTCATCGAGCCGTACGTGAGCGCAACCAAAGGAATAATGTTGTCAAAGTAAAAACTGCGTGGCAAAAAGATCGGTAAGACCATCAAACCCTACATGAATGAAACCCCGACGACTAGTAAGAAGCTGGGCCTCAGCTTGGTTAGTTTATGATATATATGGGACCCACCACACTTTCATCTTTGCTGGACCTTCAGATCATCCGTTCACTCCTCCTCCTGCCGAGCCTAGCGTATGGGCTCGCCTCGGCCAAGCCAGGTTTCCGCTCGGAAAGCAGACTTTTCTTACCGAGTCTTGCCATTCGTCCGCAGACACGATTTTTCGGTCGTGTTTCCCCGCGCTCGAATCTTAAGACTCCTCCTCCATGAATCTCTTGGCGCCTCGTCACTTCGCCCAGACCGGACCGGACCGGACCTCTCCGTGGATGGCGTTGAGTGACTTGAGTTGACGTCGGCTCAGCCGGCCTGAGCCGGTAACCTGGGTTACCCTGGTGTTCGAAGGCGGGGTAGCGGAGAGGTAACCACAAAGACCAAGACCAGAGGATGCGGGACCCACCGGTGTCAGGAGGTCAGGCCGCTTTTACGATGGCTCACTCAGATGAAGGACTTGTCTCGAGGGTTATCCTCTGGCCTGCTGCCCTTGACCTTCCGAAAGGAGTGGCAGTTACCTCCCATGCGGGAGACTGCGAAAATAGCGTAGGTACCAAGACATTTAGCCAACCCTTGGAAATTGGGAACTGGGAAGAATGGCATGAGGACAAGCGCTTTTGTGTCTACACGCTATTGACCTCCCCCTCGTGCAGTGGAGGCGTCTTTGTCCTCGGCCGGGTGTCCTTCACCATTTGCTGCTTTGTCTTCGTCTCCCTTCAGTCCCTTGCCCTCCCCGCCCTTCCCTCCGTCATTGTTTCGTCCAACGAGAGGCAGGGAGGGAGGGAAGGAGGGAAGGAGGGAGGGCAGCAAGGAAGGAGATGGAGGGGTGGAGTTTGTCGTGTTAGCCTCATTGAAGTGTCCCGAGGAAAATTCCTTGTATGTGGATTCTGTACCGGAGCCTGGATGGAAGTTCATGTACTGGGGGTGGGGGGTACGGGAGTGTTGTCCTGAACTGCCTTGTCTCCGAGATGAGGTGACTCGGCGGAAGATCTGGGAGCTTCCCAAAGTTTAGCCTTGTGCTCTTCCCCTACCACGGAAACAGACTTTCTCCGTCTATTCCTTTCGCGGAGGATTTGTACTGGAGGAGTCAAGCTCTAACGCACCTCTCATGCTGAGGCTACGAGATCCAACTTCTCGTTCTTCATTACAAGTGCAATCCAGAAAATCATATACATGTGTGCTTGTCCAAGCTCTGCAGGAGCGATGGCTATATCTGAAAGGTCATGCGGGCTGAGTGTGGCAAGTAATATCTGTCCACAGTTCGTGAGTGTGTTGGTGCGAAAAATGGGATGAGTCCGCAGTTCATGGGTGACTGATG